AAAATAAACTCCAGTATAATGACTTGAATGACGATCTGAGATCAAAGTTGGGAAGCAAAAGCCATCTGCACAGCACACACGGGACCCGAGTAATGCAGGTGGCCTGGGCAGGTCCCCAAAGGGCCTCACCGCCACCAAAAAGAGGTGGAACTGATATCAGGAAGCAGTCACAGCCTTTCAAGTCTGCTCCTCCCAGATCTGAAATCTGGGAGCAGCTCTGAGAGATAAGCTCCCGATGGCTGGGCACTGAACTGCCGCCCTGCGAGCTGAGCTGGCCCTGGCTTTTTCCCCCCATCAAGGGCAGAGACTGAATTCTTTTTAACTGTGTCACCAAGCCCAGGGCATACAAGAGGTACTCAAAAACGTGTTCGCCGACACCCTGATTCCTATTTATACTGACCATTACACAACATGTTTGCTTAGAGCCCAGCAAAGAATTTTCAGAATGTTTCACGTCTATCTCCCCACATTCAGGACGAGAGATAGTCACACAAGATGACAGGCTATGGGGACGCTCAAAAGAGCCATAATCACCGGGGCCACGTGGGTTCCCCAGCGCCAGCAGCCCAACGCTCCAGGCCCCAACACGCCGCAAAACCTTGCGGCATTCTCTAAAGTAAATGGACTGATTTTAAAATGATAATCGTCATTCTTGCGACAGCCCCAGGAAGCCTGGCTCCTGCAGTCCTGAGCCCGCATCTTTCTCCGCCCCACCGCGGCCACCACACAGCACAGGTTCTCTGTCCTGCAGTCGGAAGCGCAGTCACAGTCCCACTCTGGGTCACCGTCGCACAGTCTCACGCTCGCAGCGCGGCCCGCACACACAGAGTCCCGGTCACCCTGCTACCTGGGGTTTCCCTCTCCACACACACCCCCGGTCTCCCTCACACTCGCCGCGTCGCCAGCACACTCCAAGACTGGCTCCCTCGCGGTCACCATCAGCCTCCGGGGCTCGCACCCATACAGCATTTCTCCCACACTCGGCCCTCACGCTCGAGGTCCCTCGCTCCTCGTGTAGCCACCCCTCAGCCGCAGCGCCTCTCGCGCGGCCCCGACCGGCCAGCCCCGCGCCGTTTCTGGGCCGCATCCCGCTCCCGACGGCGGTGGCCAAGACCCAGAGGGTTCCGCTCCCACAGAACGCGGCCCGGCCCCGGCCCCTCTCCCCGCGCGCCCGCCCATGGCCCGGCCCGTTACCTCCCAGTGGCCCGGCGCCGCCAGGATGCTCGGTCGCGCCGCCGTCGCCGCGGCCGCTCAGGCCCCGCCCCGCCACGTCACCCGCCACCGGATCGCGATAGCGCGCGCCGCGTCGGGACACAGTTCCGTGCGGGGCCAGCTGGCGGCGGCGCTTCCAGGCCCCCGTGGCCGCCACGGCCTGGCCGCTACGGGGTCCTCTGGCCCAGACCGTGAGCGTGGACGCCCGACAGCCCCCGGTGGCCTCGCCAGGGCCGGCGCAGCCCGTGACCTGGGCCCGGCCACCCTCGCCACCCTGGAGTTAGATAGGGCCTCCGAGGGCGTCCACACCGGGACATTCCCGCGGGGAGCTCTCATCGGCCCCCGCACCCCGTTCCTATCTCGCCCTTGACCTGGGCCCGGCGCCCAGGGCGCCCCCTACAGCTCACACAGGGATCCAAACGGCCTCCGCCACCGCCGGGCCACTGCCACCCTGTGTCTAGGAACCCCGAGAAGACACACACTCTGGGGACTTGTCCAAACACACGCACAGCTCAGATTCCCATCCCTTGAGGCCCCCGCACCCACAAAGAAACTGCAGGCTCCCTTGGCCAACCCCAGACCTCCCTGGGGCTCTGTCCTCATCTTCCCAAGAGAGCTGCCACCCCTCTTGGGGAAGCTGCACCTCCTGCCCACTTCCCCTCCCTCTGTTTGCTCCTCCATCTTCCTCTCGAGTTCCTTTTCCTCTGGTGTCTCTGGGGCTCTCTTGTCTAGAGCTTCCTGACCTCATGGGCCCCTGAGCCCTCCACCGAAATTTCCTGTCAACACCTCAAGCACTGACTTGGTCCAGGGCCCTGGGGTCTTTTCCCCCAGCCTTATGACCACAAGTGCATGTCCTCTGGTTCCAGACCATACCCAAGACCCTGCTCCCTGCCACCCAGTGACAGGGACCCAGCCAGAGATGGGCAGCACTTCAGACCCTTCCTCCCCACTCCTCCCACGGCCTACACCCTGCTTTCTTCTCCCCAGCCACAGTGGCTTCCCAATCCCTTTCCTGCTCCCCTTAACCCATCTCCACAGAGTAGGGGATGCTCCTAAATTACAGATTGCGATGACTTTGTATCTCCCCTGCCTAAAAACCCTTCCATTCTCCTCTCTGCAGGCCTGGATGACAATGCTTGAGGAGCCCTCGCTGGTGCTGCCCTCCTGCCCTCTGCTTGGAACACCTCCCGTGTCAGTGAGTGAACATATATATTTGGATCAATCGAGTTGCACCCTTTGCCTCCCAGATCAGTTCCTCCGGCCTCCCTGGCTGGGCAGAAGGACAACTCTGGACACTTGTATTGGCACCCAGCCACTTGTCCCTGCCACAGCTTCATATAAGGTATGCCGGCTCAGCTGGGCCTGGTGGCTCACACCTGTAATCCCAGAACTTTGGGAGGCTGAGTCAGGCGGATCACCTGAGGTTGGGAATTCGAGACCAGCCTGACCAACGGAGAAACCCCGTCTCTACTAAAAATACAAAATTAGCCTATTATGGTGGCACATGCCTGTAATTGCAGCTACTTGGGAGACTGAGGCAGGAGAATCGCTTTAACCTGGGAGGCAGAGGTTGCAGTAAGCCGAGATCGCGCCATCGCACTCCAGCCTGGGCGATAAAGAGCGAAACTCCATCTCAAAAAAAAAAAAAAAAAAAAAGAAAGGAAACAAAAAAAACATACGCCGGCTCCCTCTGGCTTTGCAGTCTCACACCCAGTTACCTAGCCCATCAGCTAAAAGCCCCATGTACATCACACCCTGAATCAGATGTTCTCTAACACCATCAGTGTTCCTCAGGACCACCCTGCAAGATACATTTATTTGTAACCATTCTTTTCTTTTGCTTTCAGAGATCTATTGCCCAGGCTGGAGTGCAATGGCTATTCACAGTTGTGATCATAGCTCACTGCAGCCTCAAACTCCTAGTTTCAAGCGATCTTCCTGCCTCAGCTTCCTACTTGGGACTACAGATTTATTTTTATTTCATCTTTTTTTTTTTTTTGAGACGGAGTCTCGATCTGCCGCCCAGGCTGGAGCACAGTGGCGCGATCTCGGCTCACTGCAAGCTCTGCCTCCCGGGTTCACGCCATTCTCCTGCCTCAGCCTCCCGAATAGCTGGGACTACAGGTGCCCACCACCATGCCCAGCTAATTTTTTGTATTTTTAGTAGAGACAGAGTTTCACCGTGTTAGCCAGGATGGTCTCGATCTCCTGACCTCGTGATCCACCCGCCTCGGCCTCCCAAAGTATTGGGATTACAGGTGTGAGCCACTGCGGCGGCCTTTGTTTTTTTTTGTTTTTTTTTTTTTTTTTTGAGATCTAGCTCGCTCTATCTTGCCCAGGCTGGAGTACGGTGGCACCATCTTGACTCACTGCAGCCTCCACCTCCCAGGTTCCAGCGATTCTCCTGCCTCTGTCTCCAGAGTAGCTAGGACTACAAGCCATGCGCCACCACACCTGGCTAATTTTGTATTTTTAGTAGATATGGGGTTTCACCATGTTGGCCAGGCTGGTCTTGAACTCCTGACCTGAGGTGATCCACCCCCCCCTTGGCCTCCCAAAGTGCTGGGATTACAGGCGCGAACCACGGCACCCGGCCTATTTCACCTTTAAAGTCTTGCCCAGGCTGGTCTCAAACTCCTGGGCTCAAGCAATCCTCCTGCCTTAGCCTCCTGAGTAGGTGGAACTACAAGCGTGAGCCAGTGCACCCAGATGTCCCCATTCTTTGGATGAGGAAACTGAGGGTCAGAAGGCTCCCCAGACAACTTGGCTGTAGCTAGTAGAGCTTTGAACCCTAGTGTGCTAGTCCTAAAGCCTTCTCTGATTCCATGCCCTCTCTCTCTGCAGCTATGAAACTGAGGGTGACAATGAAGCTAAAATGGGTCAGGGGTGAGTGGGGTGCCATGAGTAGGGGGGTGTCAGGGCCAAGCAGGGAGTGAGGTTGGGCAGGGCCTGGGGTAAAGCTCCCTTTCATGTTGTCATCCTTTTACTGAGGCCAGAGCTGCAGCTGGACCCGAGTATTTTTACCCCAGGCATTTTTACCCTCACTCTGGGTCACCCTGTCCTTCCAGGGTTAGCTAACAGGTGGTTCGGTGAGAGGGTTCAGAGCGCCCTCTTGTGGCCTCTGGTGTATCAAAGCCTGGCGCCCCAGCTGGTGGGGCTGAGTGGACAGAACTGGGTACTGGCTGGGCTCTGGACTACAAAATTCAGGCCAGGACCATATCCCCTATCCATGTTTCCCTGTCTCTGTCTCTATTTCAGTCTTTGTCCATACTAGTCTCAGCCCAGTAGTCTCTTTTCCTCCCTTGATCTCTCTCGTCTGTACCTCCCCAGGGGTACAGATGGCAGGCTGATGAGCTGAAGATGCAAAGAAGGGTGGCATCCTAAAAAGAACTCTAGGTTCAAAGGATGCTGACACTTGCAAGCTGAGGGAAGACAGAGGCTGGGAAGGAGGGTCTAGTCAGGTGACTGCAGGACTGTCCTTGCTCCCAGCTCCTGGGTGGCATGTGGGGCCTGCTGACCAGGCAGAAGCAGGGGGAGGACAGGACCCCATTTCCACAGGAATGTTTCAGGTTCTGGTTCTTAGTCCCAGGAGGGGAACTGGATTCCAGGAGAGAGGGCAGGCGGATGAAGTCCACAGAAGGGCACAGGAACCATGCTTTGATGCTGACAGAACCTGTCAAGGCTCCTGTAAAGGCCCAGCCCCTGATTTCCTGCCTCTCCAGCCACCTTGTACCTCCAACACCTCCCTCCCCTCATGCTCAGAGCAGAGCGTAGGCCAGGGCACCTTACAGCATCCAGAGTACTTTTATTGCCAGAATCCAGATTCAGCCTGCTCAGAGCCCCACGCGGGGCCCACCAGTCAGGAACAAAGGGAGACAGATGCCAGGCATGTATGCAACAGAGAAAATCCAGCTGCACAGAAATCCTGTGGGAGAGCAGCTCAGTCCAGCCTGAAGGCAGCTTTGGGAACCCCACCTAGAGGCTGCACCCTTTTCTCAGCCTGTGGCCAGTCACCCACTTAAAGCCTACTGCCATGAAGGCAGCTCTGACTCTCCATGCCTGCTACCACAGGGAGACCCATGGAGCACCCTGGGGCAGACAGAAAGCCCCTAGGGGGGCCTCAGGGGACCCCTGGCTCTCTCAGGGTCCCATTCAGCCCCGTCCTCAGCCCCGCGCTGACCCACTTGGGTACTAGTGAGAGCCTAGGGCAGGGTGGCAGTGTGGTGGTGGGGTTAGCAAGAGGTACAGCTCAGGGAAGCTGCGAGCAGCCTTGGCTGCTTCCTTGGATTCCCTTTCTCCACAGGTCCCTAGAAGGCCGTGGCTCCAACGCCTGCTCTCATCCTTGGAACCACAGTCCCAGGGTGAAGGGAGGCAGCTTCAGTCCTGGGGCCAACAGCACATCTGAGGAAATCAGAGCTCCTGGGACACAGCCTTCAGGACTGGGGGCACATCTGCTGCCCAATCCAGAGCTTGACTGCTCCTGGCGGTAAGGGAGGTAGGAGTAGAGTGAAATGTCCCAGGGCCTGGGAACCATGAAGAATGCAACAAACTGCCCCTGCCTGCAGGAGCTACTGGGCTCAGCCAGGAAGCCAGTGAGGCTGGCCACCAGCTAAGCCACAGGGAAGCCAGCAGCTCTAGCTACCCATGGCCAGTGGCAGGCCTACCTGTGGCTGGTGTGTGGGAAGGGTCACCCGAGGGGCCAGGAGCCCATCCCTGGGACCTCTGGGTACAGGACCACAGCACAGTAACATCCCTCATAGGAAGGCAGCGGGGCCAGGGCCCAGTAGGCAAGTATGAAAAGCCCATAGGAGTAGGGGGACACACGGCCCCAGGTAGGGATTGGGATCAGGGCCCAGCCAGCCCACCCTGTGGAGCCAGTCCTGAGGTCACAGCAATTCCACCATCAGCAGCATTCTTGCCATCCAGTGTCCCTGAGTCCAGACTCTCATTTCTTCCTTCTTCACTGCCACAGAGAAAGGATAACAAACAGCACTTCCCCACGGCAGATGCTTCACAGTCCAAGACTCGGGGCCTTGAATAGTCAGTCACAAACTCTGTGAAACTCATGGGCCATGACAGCACCAGAGGCCAAGAGCAGGTCCACAGCTGAGCCATCCAGCCCTGCCTGGCACAGGAGTCAGGGCCCAAGGAGCACACGTTTCAGATAGGCCAGGGTGGTGGCGTTGGCCAGCATCTCGATGTGCTCGCTGCCTGGCAGCTCCTGTAGCAACACTTGGTGCTCCTGGAGGCTCTGCCAGGCCTGGCACTGCAGGGCACTCTTCAAGTTCACAGTACCATCGCCGTCACCAAAGCAGATTTTAGGGTCACGGTCAGGGAAGCTCTCATAGTAGAACGAGTCTGGTGTGGGGACACCAGTGCCATAGAGGCAGTGCAGCTGCACGCCAGGTGGCATCGTGGCTTCCACCAGCCCTTCTGTGTCCTGCCGCATGAGCCAGCCGTCTTCAAAGCCGATGTCCTGGAAGAACCTGCGGTAGTCCCGCAGTGTGTAGTTGGTCGTGGGCGTCTGCACGAACACCTTCTCAGGTGACCACGTGTAGCTGTAGGGCAGCAGCCAGCTGGTGGAGACAGCTGACCGCTGCTGCTCCCGGATCTTCAGGGGCCCGATGACTGGGATCCGGTTGTTGTCTCCTGCAGGGAGAAGGCTCTGGTCAGTCTGTGCTTAGGAATGCCAGCTGGTTGGGCAGCATGTTCACCACCAGGCCCCTGCCAGGGGCCCAGTCCACAGTCCCGCATCTCTACCCTCTTATCATCATTGTAATCACTGTGACTCCCTTCCCTGCCTTGGCTTTTTTTTTTTTTTTTCTTTTTGAGACAGGGTCTCACTCTGTTGCCCAGGCTGGAGTATAGTGGCATGATAACGGCTCACGGCAGCCTCAACCTCTCAGGCTCAACCAATCCTCCCGCCTCAGTCTTCCGAGTAGCTGGGACTACAGGTATGCGCCACCATGCCTCATGCCTGGCAAATTTTACCTTTTTTTTTTTTTTTTTGAGGTAGGATATCATTCTGTCACCCAGGCGGGAGTGCAGTGGTGCAATCTTGGCTCACTGCAACCTCCACCTCCTGAGTTCAAGCGATCCTCCTGTGTCAGCCTCCTGAGTAGCTGGAACTACACTCACGTCCCACCATGCCCAGCTAAAAATGTTTCCACTTTTTATACAGATGGGGTCTTGCTATGTTGCCCAGGCTGCTTGCCTTGGCTCTGTTTCTCTTTATTTTTGCTACATCTGGGAACCACACATCCAAGATGTTTTGTTTCTTTTGCTTTCCTCACCAGGGAGTGAGGCGGCACATACCCACAGTGTGATTTATGATGCTTCCTTGTCTGTAAACTCTGCCATCCTCCGAGTGCTGATCAGTCTGTGGGCACTGACCTAGTCTAGTGAGTCAGCAGGTTGGCAGCCCAGAGATGACATGTTCTGCTTTCCCTTTTATGACACTGAACTGTGTACCAGTTTTTCTTTTCCTAAGCTCAGACCAGTGTTCAGCCAGCAGTGGCCTCATTCCGCCCACTTGCCTGTGCGCTGACCTGGGCAGCCAGGCATGCTGGAGACAGGGCAGGAGGGGAGGCTGCAGATGGAGGCGGAGCCCCTGTACACAGGAATGGGAACAACACAAACACCCGGCAGCCAGGGAGGCCTCCGGGAAGTAAAAGCTGCAACTTGGAAACAGGGGCCTCTGGACTGTTCAGGATCCATGGTCGCCCATCACCCCACCCTGTATCTGAAAGCAGGGAGGCCTCTCGGACTGACTGTAGGGCCTCAGCTCTGCCTGCTGTGGCCTGGCTGGGGGACCCCTAAGGCAAGGAAAGCCCCAAGGGGTGCACGGACACCTCCCTGCACCCCCCACCCCAGTCCTGGACTGCCAAGGCGGGACAGAACAGCTTCCCAGCCTTTGAAGCAAAGCTCTAAGGGGACTCACAGAGAAACTCTGAAAGGGGCCAGGGTTACCTGTCTAAACTCAGGGTATGCCCACATCCGTCCCTGAGGCCCAGGCTAGACAAAAGGAGTGGCTCTAATGAGTCCTCACTAAAGCTGAGTGTCTTCCAGCCAATTCAGAGTCACTGGGCCTGACCCAATCACAATGCCAGTAGACCAAGCAGGTCAAGCAATGGCAGGGACTTGAGCTCATGAGATGCTTGGCACAGCCCTGGCTCATAGCTCCCAAAGCGAGGGTCCATAAGCCTCCCTCAAGTCCTAGCAGAGGGAGAAAACTCTCTAGCTGCAGCTGGTGAGCTGCAACAGTCATGAAAAGATGGGGGAGGAACCAGAAAAGGGGTGGCTTTCCCAACTGCCAGGCAAGCAGGTGCAGCCAGATCTGCACCTGCTTCCTCCCTGTGTTGCCTACAGAGGCTCCTTGCCGCCCACAGATGGAGGTGAACTCATAAATTAAAAACTGTAGTCTAGAGGCCAGGTGCAGGGGCTCATCCTTGTAATCCCAGAACTTTGGGAGGCCAAGGTGGGCAGATCATTTGAGGTCAGGAGTTCAAGACCAGCCTGACCAAAATGGTGAAACCCCATCTCTACTAAAAATACAAAAAAATCTGGCTGGCTGTGGTGGTTCATGCTTATAATCCCAGCACTTTGGGAGGCTGAGGCAGGCAGATCCTCCTGACTTGAGGTCAGGAGTTGGAGACCAGCCTAGCGAACATAGCAAAACCCGGTCTCTACTAAAAATACAAAAATTAGCCAGGGGTGGTGGTACACGCCTGTAGTCCCAGCTCCCCGGGAGGCTGAGGCAGGAGAATCACTTTACCTGGAAAATGGGGGTTGCATGAACCAAGATCACGCTACTGCACTCTAGCCTGAGTGGCAGAGTGAGAAAGACCCTGCCTCAAAAAAATAAAATAAAATAAAATAAAATGCTCTAGCCTTCCTCCTCTGGGGTGAAGGTGGGGATGAAGAAGCAAGGATGGGGGTAAGAAGGAGGGACAGCTGGGCACAGAGGCTCACGCCTGTAATCCCAGCACTTTGGGAGGCCAAGGCGAGTGGATCACCTGAGGTCAGGAGTTTGAGACTAGCCTGGCCAACATAGCGAAACCCCATATCTACTTAAAATACAAAAATTAGCTGGGTGTGGTGGTGAGCACCTGTGATCCCAGCTACTTGGGAGGCTGAGGCAGGAGAACTGCTTGAACCCAAAAGACAGAGGTTGCAGTGAACCGAGATCATGCCACTGTACTCCAGCCTGGGCAACAAAGCAGGACCTTGTCTCAAAAAAAAAAAAAAAAAAAAAAAAAAAGCCGGGCGCGGTGGCTCAAGCCTGTAATCCCAGCACTTTGGGAGGCCGAGACGGGCGGATCACGAGGTCAGGAGATCGAGACCATCCGGCTAACACGGTGAAACTCCGTCTCTACTAAAAAATATAAAAAACTAGCAGGGCGAGGTGGCGGGTGCCTGTAGTCCCAGCTACTCGGGAGGCTGAGGCAGGAGAATGGCATGAACCCGGGAGGCGGAGCTTGCAGTGAGCGTAGATCCGGCCACTGCACTCCAGCCTGGGCGACAGAGGGAGACTCCGTCTCAAAAAAAATAAAAATAAAAATAAAATAAATAATAAAATAAAATAAAATTAAAAAAAAAAAAAAAGAGGGAGGGACAAGGTTTAACCACACCTGAGCACTCTGGCCAACCACGCCTGAGCACTGTGTGTATATATGTGTGTTTTGTGTGTGTGTTGTGTGTATGTACAAATGAGTACTTGCGTGACCAACAGTTATGCTACTCTGTATACATGCTTTAAGAAACCTATACAGATTACAAGGCCTATCGGCTAGATAGGTGAAATTAGGAGTAGTATTAGATTTTCTCTCTCTCTCTCTCTCTTTTTTCATACCTAGTCCCCCAGAAGATTCTCTTCTGGAAAAAAAAAAAAAAGATATTTGAAAAAGAATGGGGCTGGGCACAGTGGTTCATGCCTGTAATCCCAGCACTTTGGGAGGCTGAGGTGGGCAGATTCCTCGAGCTCAGGAATTCAAGACCAGCCTGGGCAACATGGTAAAACCTTGTCTTTATAAAAAAGTACAAAAATTATCCAGATGTGGTGCATGCCTGTGGTCCCAGCTATTCAGAAGGCTGAGGCCAGAGGACCGCTTGAACCCAGGAGGTGGAGGTTGCAGTGAGCTGAAATAGCTGTACTATCAGCCTGTACTTCAGCCTGGGTGAGACCCTGTACCAAAAAAAAAAAAAAAAGAAAAGAAAAAAAGAAGTGGCCGGGCGCGGTGGCTCAAGCCTGTAATCCCAGCACTTTGGGAGGCCGAGACGGGCGAATCACGAGGTCAGGAGATCGAGACCATCCTGGCTAACATGGTGAAACCCCGTCGCTACTAAAAAATACAAAAAACTAGCCAGGCGAGGTGGCGGGCGCCTGTAGTCCCAGCTACTCAGGAGGCTGAGGCAGGAGAATGGCATAAACCTGGGAGGCGGAGCTTGCAGTGAGCTGAGATCTGGCCACTGCACTCCAGCCTGGACGACAGAGCGAGACTCCGTCTCAGAAAAAAAAAAAAAAAGAAAAAAAGAAGAAAAAAAAGAACGCCACTCTGAAGGAAAAAGAGTGCTGGCCGGGCACGGCGGCTCACACTTGTAATCCCAGCACTTCGGGAGGCCGAGGCGGGCGGATCACCTGAGGTCAGGAATTCAAGCCCAGCCTGGTCAACGTGATGAAACCCTGTCTCTACTAAAATACAAAATTTAGGCCAGGCGCGGTGGCTCAAGCCTGTAATCCCAGCACTTTGGGAGGCCGAGACGGGCGGATCACGAGGTCAGGAGATCGAGACCATCCTGGCTAACACGGTGAAACCCCGTCTCTACTAAAAAATACAAAAAACTAGCCGGGCGAAGTGGCGGGCGCCTGTAGTCCCAGCTACTTGGGAGGCTGAGGCAGGAGAATGGCGTGAACCCGGGAGGCGGAGCTTGCAGTGAGCTGAGATCCGGCCACTGCACTCCAGCCTGGGCGACAGAGCATGACTCCGTCTCAAAAAAAAAAAAAAAAAAAAATTTAGCCAGGTGTCGTGGTGGGCACCTGTAATCCCAGCTACTCGGGAGGCTGAGGCAGGAGAATAGCTTGAACCCAGGAGGCAGAGGTTGCAGTGAGCCAAGATTACGCCACTGTACTCCAGCCTGGGTGACAGAGCCAGACTCTGTCTCAAAAAAAAAAAAGAGGGCTGACCCAAGAGAAGAGTCATTGTGGAGACCAAAGCAACTCCATCTTGGATACTAATCCACCGTGTTGGCTTCTGATTAACCCCAGATCCAGGAAGGCCACTGAGATTTCCACTTTATCTACTGTTCCTTGTGCATATATTTACCATAAATCTCACACAGCCTCTGTGTTATCATCCTTCAATGTTCAACACATCGCATCAGAGTCGCCCTTTCCCTATAGAATATAAGCTCTGGGTCTGGGGGCTAATAGTGTGGGGATCCACCATCTTGTCTAGCCACCACCTGAGACACAGATGTGGCTTCTACTCGTATGTCCCTATTAAATGTTTTTCTCTGAGAAACTAGATTTGTCAGCCTCTTTCTTCCTTGGACTTTTAAGGGTAGATTTGCATAGACCCCACACACCGTGGGACAGAGATGAGGCATGCTGGCCTAGGAGGACACTTTGGAAGGGAAGAGAGGGCAGAATTCCTGGCAACAGCCCCCCACACTGGGCCAGGCAGGGTCTTACCTGAAGCCAGGACGCGCAGGGTCTTGGCCACGCCCCCCCAGGGCGCACCCAGTGACACGAAGGCCCGGATATACTTGTCCTTCCAGGCCTGCGGCTGCCGCTGCAGAAAGTAGAGCGTGTACATGTTGCCCATACTGTGGGCAACCAGCACCACGGGGCCCCCATACAGCTGGTACATCTCCTCGATCATCTCGCGGAGGGCCAGGAAGTAAGGCCCGTTTTCATCTGCAGGCCAGAGCCAGGCAGGGGTCAGGCGGGAAGGGTCCTGGAGCCCGAACCACTGAGCTTTTCTCAGGCCAGACACAAGATGAGAGGGGAGGGGAGGGTGCTCACATTCAAACGGAGTGGTCTGGGTCCCCCTGCCTTCCATGAAGGGAGGAAGCCTTATATTTCTCCCCAGGGCTCAGAGGCCCAGAGGTCCCAGGGTGGGAAATGGAGGACAGGATAAGACTGACCAAGGGTGGTGGCTGTGACCACTAGACTGGATGCCAGAGGCCCAGGGACAGGGGACAGCCAAGGACAAGGGGAGAGCCCAAGACCTGTGGTGCCCATGATCACCTCGCCCCTACCTCCCGAGACTTCAGGGAGGGAACGAGAGTGCCTGCTTACTTGGGGCTCGGCGCCAGTCATAGGGAGCCCCTCGGACATCCTCACCCCGTGTGTAGCCCCAGCCCACAAGGCTCTCCACCATGGTGTGGAAATAGGAACCTGTAGACAGAAATACAGAGGATAAGAAAAGATATAGCTAGTGCCGGCCACCTATACTATGCCCAGCATGGAGACTGTGAGAGTCGGCAGGTCCCTGGAAGAATGCTACAGGGCTCTGTGCCAACGCTGATCAGAGACAGCTTACAGGCTGTCTGTACAAACCAGCAGAGTTCCTCCAGCTCCAGCTTGAGTCCAGCAGAACCCCCATCCCAGCTCCCGGAGGCCTTGAGTGAGGGCTACATACCCACGCTGCTTTTGCTGGGGTCCAGGAACTCCAGTGAGAAGGTCTTCCCAAAGCCAGGGACACGTACATCCACACCATCAGGAAACTGGGTGGCCCTGGATGTTTTGTTGTAAACCAGCCTGTTGTGAGAGGATATCGAGCCAGTGACCCAGAGGGGACACGGAGCTTGGTGTGTCCCAACAGTGCATCATGTCCTGAGTCATACTCCCTTCCCATGCCCAGGTTTAGTCAGATGGATAGGAGAGACCAAAAAGTAACAAAGCAGGTTGATAAAGCACAGATGTCCTATAATCCCAGCACTTTGGGAGGCTGAGGCTGGCAGGTCACCTGAGGTCAGGAGTTTGAGACCAGCCTGACCAACATGGCGAAACCCCGTCTCTACTAAAGATACAAAATTAGCCAGGTGTGGTGGCAGGCTACTGTAATCCCAGCTGCTTAGGAGGCTGAGGCAGGAGAATCGCTTGAACCCAGGAGGCAGAGGTTGCAGTGAGCCAAGATCACGCCATTGCACTCGAGCCTGGGCGACAGAGCAAGACTCCGTCTCAAAAAAAAAAAAAAAAAAAAAAAGCACAAATCAGAGTAATTACATTCAAACAAGAACCTCACCAACACATACTTACTCCAAACACTGACCCCAGGACCCCTGTCAAAGCAACATTCCCCTCTCCCCCGTGACCCTACCCTAGAATGAGGGTCTTGGACCTGGTTGGGAGAAGGAGGCAGCAGTCCTGGTTCTGCTGTGAACGTCACACTGGACCCCAAGAGGCAGTCCACCCTCTTTCAGCTTCCCATCGCTCCATCTCCTTGCATCCAGCTCCTGCCACCCAACATATCCCAGGCAAAGGAGATGGTGAATGCAGTACACAACAGAACCAGACAAGGGCCGGGTGCAGTGGCTGACACCTGTAGTTCCAACGCTTTGCAAGGCCAAGGTGGGAGGAATGCTTGAGGCCAGGAGTTCAAGGCCAGCCTGGGCAATATAGTGAGGCCTTGTTGCTACTAAAAATAAAAAATTATCCAGGCATGGTGGTGCAGGCCTGTGGTCCCAGCTACTTGGAAGGCTGAGGCAGGAGGATGATTTGCACCTGGGATATTGAGGCTGTAGTGAGCCATGATCATGCCACTACACACCAGTCTGGGCAGGAAAGTAACACCCTATCTCATAAAAACAAAAACAAAAACAAAAAAACCACTAGGCCAGATGCAGTGGCTCACGCCTATAATCTCGGCATTTTGGGAGGCCGAGGCAGGTAGATCACTTGAGGTCAGGAGTTCGAGACCAGCCTGGCCAACATGGTGAAACCCCATCTCTATTAAAAACACAAAAATTAACCAGGTATGGTGACGTGAACCTGTCATCCCAGTTACTCGGGAGGCTGAGGCAGGGGAATTGCTTGAGCCTGGGAGGCAGAGGTGCAGTGAGCCGAGATCGTGCCACTGCACTCCAGCCTGGGCAATAAGAGCGAAACTCCATCTCAAAAAAAAAAACAAAAAAAAAACCTAGAAAGGCACCATGCTTCAGGGCTGCTATGTGGGTGGGTAGGCAGACAGAAGGGGCAAGGCCCAGAGAAATGATGGGAGCTGGTGGGGAGAGACAGGAGGAAGGCCTTGTGTGGCCCCAGGTAGGTATAATTGGGTCCCACTTCCTCTGGGCATTGGACACAGCAGCCAGTCAACCTCCAAACACATCCTCCATGGAGGAAGGGAATGAACCACGCTCCTATGACCCCCTGGCACCCCAGGGCTGTATCACCTGTCAGACTGCAACCACAAGGCCCAGGGCTTGCCCAGCAAATTCCTAAGCGCCATGACATAGGACATGGACCACCAGCTACTGACTTGAGATCCCTAACAGCCCTTTCTTAGTTTTCTTTCTTCTTCTTTTTTGAGACAGGGTCTCACTCTGTCCAGGCTGCAGTGCAGTGAGGGCATCATAGCTCACTGTAGCCATAACCTCCTGGGCTCAAGTGATCCTCTTACCTCATCCTCCTGAATAGCTAGGCAGGCACCACCGTGCCTGGCTTATTTATTTATTTGTTTATTTATTTTGTAGGGATAGGGCCACACTATGCTGCTCATGCTGGTCTCAAACTCCTAGGCTCAAGTGATCCTCCTGCCTCAGCCTCCCAAAGCACTAGGATTACAGGCATGAGCCACTGCACCCGGACTATTAGTTTTCTGGAACTGTGCAATAAATTACCGCAGACTCAGCAACTTCTAACACCACACACATTATCTCATAGTTTCTGTAGCTGCAGTGCCAAACAGAACCAGACAGGACAGACCCCGCCTCAGGCCTAAGTACACGGCTATGGCACCATATCCTGTGGGAAGAGAGTTGTCAAGGCCTGAATAAATGATGGGAACAGGGTGAGGGGCAGACGGACACCTTATACCAGAAGAAAAGCCTTATGCCTTTGTGCTAGGCCGGGAACCTTGCTCTGGCCTCACCTCACACTGAAGAGGTAAATGTGCCCCCAAAAACACAGGAACCTGGAGTTTCTGGTGGTTCTGAGTCCCACTTGTCCCCTTAGATATCAGCCACAGAAAGCTGACAGGATCCCCACAACTGACCCAGATAACAGGTCCTAGAGGCCCATGCTCTCCAGAGGAATTTGTAGATTATCCCAATGGCCACACAGCAAAGTAGCTTGTTGCTACTAAAAATAAAAAATTATCAAACAGCAAAATGCAGAAAACTGTTCTGGAAAGCCAAAGCAGTTCTGTCTGGGTGAAAATCTAAACAGGTCAGAGAAGCAGTGAAGGCAGACAGGCCCCTCTTGGTATCAGCTGGCACTCAACTGGCAACACCTGAAGCCGTGTCCCCAGTATAAAAATAGAAATGCACATCAACAGCCCAGAAATAACCCCAGTCACACAACACACAGAGGAGGAAGGAGTCAACAAAACGGGCATCACAAACAGCTGGCAGGCCAGGGCGCCTGGAGGAGCAGCTAGAAAGTCTCTGGGAAAAACTTTTTTTTTTTTTGAGACAGTCTCATTCTGTCACCCAGGCTAGAGTGCAGTGGCCCGATCTCTGCTCACTGCAACCTCTGCCTCCCAAGTTCAAGTGATTCTCCTGTCTCAGCCTCCCGAGTAGCTGGGATTACAGGTGTGTACCACCACGCCCAGCTAATTTTTGTATTTTCTTCTTTTTTTTTTTTTTGAGACAGAGTCTTGTACTGTCCCCTGGGCTGGAGTGTAATGGCACAATCTCAGTTCACTGCAACCTTCACCTCCCAGGTTCAAGCGATTCTGCCTCAGCCTCTTGAGTAGCTGGGATTACAGGCGTGAACCACTACGCCCAGTCTTAATTTTTGTATTTTTAGTAGAGACAGGGTTTCACTGTGTTGGCCAGGTTGGTCTCGAACTCCTGACCTCATGATCTGCCCACCTCAGCCTCCCAAAGTGCTGGGATTACAGGCATGAGCCACCGCACCCGACCGGGAAAACTTTTTAATTTGGGAGACTCCATTCAGCTCAAACATGTATGGCGCACCAACTGTGTTTCTGGTTCTACTGCTATAAAGATAAAACAGAGACTCCCTCCCTTCACGGAGCTCAGACTGGGAGGGAACCTCAGCTCAGAGCCACACATTCTGGGTTTGAATTCTGATTCTACCACTTATTAGCTGAGTGAGCACAGGTAATCACTGTAACCTCGTTGAGCTTCCAGATTTCCCAGCTGTAAAGCAGGTTTAAAAACCACCTGTTGGCAAGTAACGCTGGTGAAAAAACAAAAAAACAAAAAAACCACCACCTATTTCAAAATGGGGTTGCTGTAAGACTAAACGAAAGTAAGTCTATAAAATGTGTAGTGCCTGTGTAATTTGGGGAAATATGCCTGGAGACAAATTTGGGCACGTGATGACATTTAGAGGAAACAAGCACGGGGCCTGGGGGGAGGAGAGGCGAACCTCTCTGGGGAGTCAAAAGGGAGCCATCACAAAGGCACCAGGGTCAGGTTGATTTGTTGTTGTTGTTGTTGTTTTGAGACAGGGTCTTGCTCTGCCGCCCAGGCTGGAGTACAGTAGTGTGATCTCTGCTCACTGCAACCTCTGCCTCTCTGGCTCAAGCAATTCTCCTGCCTCAGCCCCCTAAGTAGCTGGGACTACAGGTGCATGCCCAGCTAATCTTTTTGTAATTTTGGAAGAGATGGGGTTTTACCATGTTGCCCAGGCTGGTCTTCAACTCGTGAGCTCAGGTGATCTGCTTGCCTCAGCCTCCCAAAGTGATGGGATTATAGGAGAGCCACAGTGCCTGGCCTAGGGTCATGTTTTAAAGGGTGAATGGAAGCACATTTATCAGGCAAAGGGTATAGAAATAGATTCCAGGCCAAAAGAACAGCGGGTGCAAAGACATGGCGTGTCCCAAGAAGAACAAGCAGCTGGAGACATAGGGGAGGCCAAGTCACAGACAAGGAAAGGGGTGGGGGCCATGCCGAGGCTCTGAATAGCGGCTGGGGCACAGAAATTTTGTGTAGGCAGGCGCAGTGGCTCATGCCTGTAATCCCAGCACTTTGGGAGGCCAAGGTGGGCAGACCACTTGAGCTCAGGAGTTCGAGACCAGCATGGCCAACATGGTGAAACCCCATCTCTACTAAAAATACAAAAAAATTAGCCAGGCATGGTGGTGGGCGCCTATAGTCCCAGCTACTTGGGAGGCTGAGGCACAAGAGTTGCTTGAACCTGGGAGGTGGAGGTTGCAGTGAGCCAAGAAGGCGCCAGCCTGAGTGACACAGCGAGACTCCGTCCCAAAATAAAAGAAAAAAAAGGCCGGGCGCGGTGGCTCAAGCCTGTAATCCCAGCACTTTGGGAGGCCGAGGCGGGTGGATCACGAGGTCAGGAGATCGAGACTATCCTGGCTAACACGGTGAAACCCCGTCTCTACTAAAAATACAAAAAGTTAGCCGGGCGTGGTAGCGGGCGCCTGTAGTCCCAGCTACTTGGGAGGCTGAGGCGAGAGAATGGCGTGAACCAAGGGGGCGGAGCTTGCAGTGAGCCGAGATCGCGCCACTGCACTCCAGCCTGGGAGACACAGCGAGACTCCGTCTCAAAAAAAAAAAAAAAAAAAAAAAAAATTGTGTGTAGGCATGAGAGGCCAGGGCTGGAGAGTAGAAGAACAAGGGTAGCTGGAAGGGAAAGTTAGTTCTGCCTGGGAGTGCAGAGGTGGTGCCAACCAGACCAGACCGAGGACCTGGGGAAGGAGAGAGGTCAGTGACCTCGAGATGAGGATAGAAGAAACAGGCTCCGGAGGCCTCTCAGGCCTGTTGGTAAGCAGCACCCCCGCTGTGTGCCCCAGCCCCCACCTGATATTGTCAATCCAGCAGTCAATGATGACAGGCAGCAGCAGTTCCAGGTTCAGCCAGATTGTGAAGTAGCTTTCGGTCTTCTTGGAGCAGAGGTAGTGCACCACTGTCGGCTTATCCAGTTTGGCTTCCAGCTGGTTCCCCAAATCACCAGGGACTGCAGGGGGCACAGGACATGTGTGAGCCCTCGCCCCGGCAGGTTCAAGACTCCCAAGAACTTTGATGTCTGCAGCAGACCCCCTGAAGAGCCACAGATACTATGGCAGACCTGTGCAGTTCCACACCTCAAATTAAAGCACAGTGCCAGTGGCAGGAAATTCAGAGCAGGGACCTTGACTCAAAGGCCAGGGAACCATTTTTGTGCAGAAAAGCTGCTACTGCTGTGTAGTGCAGAGATGCCTGTGGGGGGCTTGGGAGAGGCCTGACATGTTTGGGGAAGGGCCCTAACACTGTCTCCAACTCCAGATAAAGTAAGTCTCCTAGATATTCACTGGAACATCCTCCTGGGCCATTCAGATTATTGGAAAGGGGTTTAAGGTAAAGTCACTCCCCATGCTAGGCCTCTGTTTCCATATCTGTTAAATGAGATTTTGGTCTGAATCACCCCCAGCAAACACAGACACACCTTTACACATAGTTTCTATGGTTAATGGACCCAGATGGGAGCTGTGTCTGGGAGGAGGGGCTTGGAGACCCCTTTGCATTCCAGAACCTCCAAAGTTTGGCCAAGGCCCTATCATTAGATATATACCCTTGAGGTGGGGTATGGTGGCTCATGCCTGTAATCCCAGCACTTTGGGAGGTGAGGAGGTGAGTGGATCATTTGTGGTCAGGAGTTCAAGACCAGCCTGGCAGGCCGGGCACAGTAGCTCACGCCTGTAATCCCAGCACTTTGGGAGGCCGAGGTGGGTGGATCACGAGGTCAGGAGATAGAGACCATCCTGGCTAACACGGTGAAACCCCGTCTCTACTAAAAATACAAAAATTAGCCGGGTATGGTGGCGCGCACCTGTAATGCCAGCTACTCAGGAGGCTGAGGCAGGAGAATCGCTTGAACCTGGGAGTCGGAGGTTACAGTGAGCCAAGATCACCACTGCACTCCAGCCTGGCAACAGAATGAGACCCCGTCTCTAAAAAAAAAAAAAAAAAAAAAAGACCAGCCTGGCCAACATGGTGAAAGCCCATCTCTACTAAAAATACAAAAAATCACCTTGGCATGGTAGCACATGCCTGTAATCCCAGCTATTTGGGAGGCTGAGACTGAGACAGGAGAATTGCTTGAACCCAAGAGGAGAGGTTGCAGTGAGCTCGTGCCATTGCACTCCAGCCTGGGCGACAGAGCAAGACCCGGTCTCAAAAAAAAAAAAAGATATATACACTGGGGGCTTCAACCCAAAGTCTTCCACCCATAGCTATCCCAGGCTACAGAGAAGACAGGGTCCTGTTCACCGTGAGAGAGGAAGAAGGAAACAGAACAGAGCTCTTGGCCACTTGGCTAAAATTCAACCAAAGTATCCAGGATAGGCTTGTGGGAGGGAAATGAACAGAAACATAGCTGAGAGAAGCTTACACTGGCACCCGCCAGCCTACCAAGGGCCCAGGCCTTACTAAAGGCCAGAGTCCAGTAAGGTGCCAGAGAACAGATCATCTGGAGGGCCCTGGCATGGCTGGGAGCCCATGTTGGAAACAGCCATCCTGAACCAGCACCATTATCACCACAGTCCAGGCCCTCGCGTGACTTCTCTCCATCCCAGCCAGCCCGTTCAGTCTACTCAGAACTCTGGGGCCCTGGTGACACCCAAATCCCTCCCCACTGCTTCAAAGCCCTTCACAGTTTCGTTACTCCCAGTGACCTTTCAGGCCTCACCTGCCCCCACATGCCATGCTCTCACCACTTCCCAAACACATCCCCGTTTAGGGTCCACAATCATCTAGTGAAAACCAGCACTGGGCTCTCCTGGACATTCACTGGGCACTGACTGTAAATCCAGCCCTGCATAGGGCACGCCCTCCCTGGGCACCATCCCAGTGTCTTCAGGGTGCCATGAGAGGCAGGGGTGGCACCTGCCTTCACCTCCCCTCATGGTATGGGTGCAGAGGTGGGGAGTCCCCATCACGATAGCCTCTGGATGACATGCCTGTGGACTGGGTAGGGCAGGGCGAAGACCCTGGTCACTGTCTCTACCAAACGGGAAATGGCTAAAAGAGGAAGTCACAAGATCTGCTTTGCTCAGATGCTCCTTGCCCTGGTCAGGCTGTGTGGCCTCTAAAAATAGCAGTGGCCACTTCCTGAGCCCCTCTGTGCCTGGAACTAGGACAAGAGCCATCTGCATGCCTTTTACCTCAAGTAACACTGGGAGGGGACAGCCTTACTATTCCACTTAACAGATGAGGAGACTGAGGCTGCAAGAGGTGGAAATGGCCTTGCCATTTCCTTCCCCTTGCCCAGGGTCTTCTGTATCACATCTCTCCGGCCTCTCTTTCCTCCACCACCATTTCAGGACCCACCCCTAGAGGATTCTGGTCCTCTGACAGTCAAGGTCAGATCCCTGCTCTGTGCCCAGGAGCTGCTTGTCCAACTGCCCACCACGATGTCTCCCAGGGCTAAGGCCAGCAGCCTCCCTCCCTGAGAAGCTGGGCAGGTTAGGACTCCTGCTTCTCTGTGATTCTGGGTGGGGTCTGAGGCTCTTCTGCTGTGACCTAGAATAAACAGACTGACTGAATTGGTGAGTGTGGTTAGCATTAATCCAGGCAAAATGGCTGTGTGCCAGCCACAGACCACGTGTTTCCCAATGCCATGCCCCTCAGACTCAGAAATCTGCAGGCCCACCCAAGACTCCCTGAGGCCCTCAAGATAAAGTCCAGATGACCCAAACAGTCACAAGGCCTGTGCAGTCCACTGCTCCCCTGACTCGATCCCAGGCAGCCTGAGATGCTCACCTCTCTCCCCCTGCCCAGTACTCTCTCCTGGCCTTAGCTCCAGCTATATACTCCAGGAAGCCTTACTTGACACCCACCCATCTGCTGGGTTGGTGGATTCTCTGTGCCTGCCCCACACAAGCTTCCTCTCTGGGGATCATTGTTATTGCTATCCTGCAAGCTTTGGGGAGGCAGGGCCAAGTCTGCCCAAATCCCATGGTGAACCTGGGCCTAGAATCCCCCTGGAGCATTTCCTGGCTGGGAACTCCTGGTGGGGCCTGCCTGGCACCACCCTGCCTGCCAACTCTACCCTTCTGTGATTTGCATTGTACCCATTTAAAGTACTCTCAGCAGAAAGAGCACGGAGATCACGCTGCACTAGACTCCACTTGTAACTCATGCCTCGGATGCCTCTGCTTTCAGGAATCCTGGCTGGCCACGGACACGCCAGCTGTGGATGGGAGTGACAGCCTGAATGAGGCACCCAAGACCCCTAGACAGAGGTCTCATCCCTGCCCATCCCCACAAGGAAATACTGTGGCCGCTGTAGAATTGCCAGGGTTGTGATCAAGGAGCGGCGTGGGCAGGGGAGGTCACTCAGCCTCGACATAGTCTAGTCCAAGCATGTGTGGCAGGGTAAGAATACAAGCATGTTGCCTGACACAGGTTCATGGCCATTGCCCCAACCCTTTCCTCCGACTTCAGCGTCTTCAGTTTCCCTTAGGCCTTTTCCCTCAGAAAATGCCACACATCTGATAAGTTGTGGGAGTTGGTGGCCAGCTAGGAGAGCAATCCTTTCCCTAAGGAGGTTCCCTTCAGTAATGACTTCTGGTATATGTGGCATTGGAAGGGTCGAGGGTGACAGCCTCCTAGCCAGGCCCAAGTCGATGCAGAGGTCAACTCAGGAGCCACTCTACACACCCCCACCATCCCTCAGGAGTGGGGCTGAAGCACCTGTCTTTCCAGCTAAAAAATGGGGTAAGGGGAGGCAAGGCTTGGGAATGATGCAGACAAGTGGAACTATGAATAACCAGATGGTAACTCACCCACTCACCCCCATTTTCTACCAGGGCAGGAGGTGGGGTGCTGACCACACCCGGTCCAGCATGGCGGGAGGTGGGCCGGCAGATCTAGATCACCTAAGTGACAAGACAGACACCAATACGCTCCCCCATTTCGTGACTGGAACAGATGCAGACCGGGAAGGTAGCCCCGCCCGCGGCCCGTCCCGCCCGACCGACTGACCCACCACGAGACCCATGCCTCACCCAGCACCACTGGGGGGTGACGTCCGGCCGGGAGCGCTGGGTCTGCGAGCAGCATTAGCAGCAGCAAGAGGAACAGGAGGCCATCCGGGAGCAGCCCCACACGGCAGGGGCGGAGGTGGAGGCCCATGGTGTACGACGGTCGCTGCAGGTCCAGGCTGCAGGTTCAGCTCTCTGGGCTCTCGCCTAGGCGGGGGCGGTGGCGACGCACTTAACCCCGCCGCCCGCATGCCCCGCATCCTCCCGGCCAATCAGAGCCCTCCTCCCGCAAACGGCCTGCCAATAGGGACTCGCCGCCATATACGTCCCTCCCAGTCAGGGCTCACCGCCCTGCGCTTGCCCAACCCCCTGCTCCCGGGACCACGCTGCGCGCCGAGCGCATCGATAGATCGAGGTACTTACCGCCTGGCTCCGGGCTCTCAGTCGCCCACCCGGGGACCCACCTCGCCGCTGCTGTGTACCCCGCCCAGCCCTGAGTACCCGAAATCCGCGCTGCGCAGCCCTCACCTGGCGACGCCCTGACCTGGAGGATCTGGAACGGACAAGACAGAGAGAGGATAAGGGGTGCAGCGCTCGCTGCTGCTGAGCGACCCCGGTTAAAGCAAGAAGAGGGGAAGTGAGTGCCTGACAGTTCTTGGGCCTCAGGTGACCAGGAGCTGACCAGGACCTTTGTGCAACCCGCACACCAATTCTTAACACACCCTGCCCCGAGGGCACCTGGGTTCGGCCAGTCAGCCCCCGTAACTCTGCCCCGGGGTTACAGATGCGGAGGGAACCGGGAGAGGCCAGGTCAGCATGTTCAGTTCCCAAGAGTGGGGTTAATCTGTTCGTTTTAGAGGCGCAGAGTGCAGCGTCACCCCGCTAGTCCGGGTAGTTCGGGCGCGGGGTTGGGAGTGGGCTTCAGCCTCGATCCTGCGCCATGGGCCATCTGCAAGTTCGCCTGTAGAGCAGGAGAGGCATCGGGAGCTCGTGATCCCTCTCCACTCACGCAAACCTGGGGAACCGGAGAGGACACAGACTCCCTGCGCCAGGAAGCAGGGGCAAACAGAGTGGACAAAGACCTGACAGCCGGCACCATAGGTCACTGTGGGATAGAGAGACGAGAGTATTTGGGAAATAGAGGTCTTGATCCTCCACACACACACCCCTTCGAAGGGGCAGCTGTGCCCTGGTCATCCCATCTGGTCCCAATAAATTTGTCCTGCCACTTCCTTCCTTCTTCTTGGTAAGCAGCTGACCTGGCTATGAAGCCACGATCTTGCCCTGCCCTTCTCGAGTTCTTATAATGAAACATGTTGGTGACTGGGCTACCACTACCCTCCCTCTTTCTTTTTTCATTCTTTATTTTATTTTATTTTGAGACAGGGTCTGTCTGTCACCCAAGCTGAAGTACAGTGGCGCAATCATGGCTCATTGCATCCTTGACTTCTCAGGCTCAAGCGATCCTTCCCATCTCAGCCTCCTGAGTAGCTGAGACTACAGTGTACACCCCCACTCAGCTAGTTTTTTTATTTTTTGTAGAGTTGGGGGTCTCACTATGTTGCCCAGGCCAGTCTTGAACTCTTGGCCTTAAGTAATCCACCTGCTTCACCCTCCCAAAGTGCTGAGATTACAGGTGTGTGCCACTGTGCCCAGCCCCATCCTCTCTTAAGGTCCAGCCATCTCCCCCTAAGGCCCTGGCTCAGGATTCCCAAAGCCCCTTCCTCCCCCACCTTCACCCGACAGAAGATCGGTGAAGACCCATCTGGTGAAATCCCAGCGTGGGAGACCATAGAGACTCTTCTGCAGGCCTAGGGACAGGCAGGAGTCCAGTCAAAGGTTAAGTGGAGGAAGGGAAAGATCAACAGGTGCTGGGCCACCTTGGACTCTGGCCACAGTCTAAATGTCTTGCCAGCCCAGCAGCATCCAGGGTCCCATGTCATGGGCCCCTGGAAGCGTAGCCCTGTCCTCAAGAGGGGTTCCCTGGTGCTTCACCCCCACAGGCCCTGCATGTGTTAGGAACCATAGCCATTAGGGGCAGGATGGCAAGGCCTAGTCAGCAATGACCCATGCTGGCACTGTGGAGAAGAGTCAGAAGGTGAGGTCCTCCCTTTTCACAATAAGTTTGCCATCCACCTGATCCCCCAGGCTGCAGACTTGGCATCATCCTGAGCTCTGGATGCCTCCATGCTTCTCAGAACCACAACTCAGGTGGTCATAAGGGCTAGCCAGCTCTACCCTTCCCAAACCACACTACCCTATTCCCACAACAGCCTCATCACTGATGTCCCAATGCACACCCTCGTTCCTGTGGGTCGTTCTCCACATGCCAGGCTGACACTGTTTTTTTTTTTAGAGACAGAGTCTTGCTCTGTCACCCAGGCTGGAGTGCAGTGGTGCGATCCCAGCTCACTGCAACCTCTGCCTCCCGGATTCAAGCGATTCTCTTGCCTCAGCCTCCAGAGTAGCTGGGATTACAGGCACCCGCCACCACGCCCAGCTAATTTTTGTATTTTTTAGTAGAGACAGGGTTTCGCCATGTTGGCCAGGCTGGTCTTGAACTCCTGAACTCAGGTGATCCGCCCACCTAGGTCTCCCAAAGTGCTGGGATTACAGATGTGAGCCACCAGGCCCGGCCCTGATTTTTTTGAAATCTTGCTCAAATTACTATCTCAAATTGTATGGTTTGCCCTACTAACCATAAATTCTCATTGGATGGGTTTTATTTAATCCTATATATCGGGACTTTGCAATCTGACTCTGGCATAACATTAGGTGACAAGAAAGTCAAAATATTCCAAAACAATGTTTCTTTGCCATACTTTGAAATGGCCCTGCACAACTGTCCTTTGTGGAGCAAAATTTGCATCTGTAAAGAATCTCTATTGGCCTGGCACGGTGACTCACGCCTATAATTCCAGCACTTTGGGAGGCGGGTGGATCACAAGGTCAGGAGATTGAAACCATCCTGGCTAACACCGTGAAACCCCATCTCTAATAAAAATACAAAAAATTAGCCGGGCGTGGTGGCGGGCACCTGTAGTCCCAGCTACTTGGGAGGCTGAGGCAGGAGAATGGCGTGAACCTGGGGGGCGGAGCTTGCAGTGAGGCGAGATGGCGCCACTGTAAGGGAGGAGATTACCCCTCATATCATCTTATGCCCAATTTCTGCCTCCAAAGAAAGAAGAAGTAAAAACTAAAAGGCAGAAATGAAATCCACAGGCAGACAGCCCGGCACCGTACCCTGGGCCTGGTGGTTAAAGATCGACCCCTGACCTAATTGGTTCTGTTATCTATAGATGACAGACATTGTATAGGAATGCACTGTGAAAATCCCTATCTTGTTTTGTTCCGATCTAATTACCAGTGCATGCAGCCCCCAGTCACGTACCCCCTGCTTGCTCAATCAATCACGACCCTCTCACGTGCACCCCCTTAGAGTTGTGAGCCCTTAAAAGGGACAGGAATTGCTCACTCGGGGAACTCGGCTCTTGAGACAGAAGTCTTGCCGATGCCCCCGGCCAAATAAACCCCTTCCTTCTTTAACTAGGTGTCTGAGGAGTTTTGTCTGCCGCTGGTCCTGCTACAACTGCACTCCAGCCTAGGCGACAGAGTGAGACTCCGTCTCAAAAAAAAAAAAAAAAAGATATTATATTAACATAGCTAGTTCTTTTTCTTCCAGGCCCTCCCAATCCTGAAAAGATTAAGAGTCTAGCAACTTTTAAAGGTCTGATCATCTGAGGTCAGGAGTTTGAAACTAGCCTGGCGGCCAACATGGCGAAACCCATCTCTACAAAAATAGAAAAATTAGCTGGCCATGGTGGCGGGCACCTGTAGTCCCAGCTACTCAGGAGGCTGAGGCAGGAGAATCACTTGAACCTGGGAGGCGGAGGTTGCAATGAGCCAATATCACATCACTGCACTCCAGCCTGGGAGGCAGAGCAAGACTCCATCTAAAAAAAAAGTGTCCAAATATTTTACAGAGTTTGACTCTTTTCAACAGAATAAATCCGGAGACTAAGGAGCCAGTCCAGTTGTGGTATCTTCCTTGGGTGAGCACACAGCCAACACCCTTCACCCCTCCTGCTACTGGGCCCTTTGCACTCCCTCTCGCTGTCCTAAGCTCCAAGCTCCTGTACCAGAACTAGGTGGATCCTGGGCTTGAGGCAACCAAACTAAGACCAGGGCTTCCAGGCTCATTTGGTGGCCAAAGCTGAGTCCATTTAGAGGCCGGTGGAATCTCCCTAAAGCTCATGGCTCAGCAGGTCTCCATTCTTCTGCAGCCAGTCTCCCTGCAGCCAGGAGAGGCCTAACACTGATCCAGCCACAAAAGAACCCTGGAGGCAAAGAGCCCAGAACAGAGATCATGCCGCTGCACTCCAGCCTGGGCGACAGAGGGAAACTCCGTTTCAATAAAATAATATAAAAGGCTGGGCACGGTGGCTCACACCTGTAATCCTAGCACTTTGGGAGGCTGAGGCGGGCAGATTGCCTGAGTTCAGAAGTTTAAGACTAGCCTGCGCAACGTAGCGAAACCCTGTCTCTACTAAAAATACAAAAAATTAGCCAGGCGTGGTGGTGCACGCCTGTAATCTCAGCTACTCAGGAGGCTGAGACAGGAGAATCGCTTGAACCCGGGAGGCGGAGGTTGCAGTGAGCCAAGATCCTGCCACTGCACTCCAGCCTGGTTGACACAGCAAGACTCTGTCTCAAAAAAAATAAAATAAAATAAAGCAAAATAAAATAGGCCAGGCGCAGTGGCTCACGCCTATAATCCCAGCACTTTGGGAGGTGGAGGCGGGCAGATCACCTGAGGTCAGGAGTTTGAAATCAGCCTGGCTAACATGGTGAAACCCCGTCTCTACTAAAAATACAAAAATTAGCCGGGCGTAGTGGCGGGCGCTTGTAATCCCAGCTACTCAGGAGACTGAGGTAGGAGAATGGCCTGAACCCAGGAGGCGGAAGTTGCAGTGAGCCGAGATCGCGCCATTGCACTCCAGCCTGGAGACAAGAGCAAAACTCCGTCTCAAAATAAAATAAAAATAAAGCCAGAGGGTATTGGCCTGATGGCATCGAGGGGACCCCTTTGTCACCACTGTCCTGGTGCTTTGCTCGACCTCGAGCGCACGCCCCTCCCCCTCCGCTTCTAGCAACGGAGTCAGCGCGCCCTCTGGCGTGTGCTCTGCAGCCACTCTGCACAGGTGCGGGGATCCCAACTCAGCAGGTGGGGCCCAACGCGCTGCCTAGTGGGGTGGCCCCCACATGCCATGCTCTCACCCTCTCAAGGAGGGTCGCTGAGAGAGGGGACGGGTCTGGGCAGGCAAGTGTGGATCTCTGCGGTGTTCCCCAGCGTCGAATCCTCTTGCACTGCGAGATCTTTCCTGGCGGTGAAGGGAAGGAGGGAGGGTGTTTTCGCACCGCTCCTAGACGCCCTGGAGGTTCCCGAGACCCGCCGCACTTCCCGCCTTACACCCTGTATCTGCCCGGGCTTTCATGTCCCCGCAGCCACAGCGCCGGCTGCCTTTAGGGGTCCAACCCAGGCAGGTCTGAGAGCCAAGGTGAGGGTAAAATTTTGCGAGTATGAGGCCCACGGAACACAGTCCTTTCTTCCAAATATCTGGCACGCGGTTTTGAGAAAGGCGTCTGACCTCGGGCGGCCTGGGCCATGGGGGCCTTGCCTACCTCTCTGCCGTACCAATCTCCTATTCATTAATTCATGAACCCCAGGGGAGCGAGGAGTGGGGTGGGGGTGGGAGACAATTTTCAGAGAAGTACAGAAATCTCAAAACTACAGAGGGGACCCCTGCTGCGGAAGGTAGAAAATCTGGAGGAAGGCCGGGAGCAGTGGCTCACGCCTGTAATCCCAACACTTTGGGAGGCTGAGGCCGACGGATCACGAGGTCAGGAGTTCGAGACCAGCCTGGTCAATATGGGGAAATCCCATCTTTATTAAAAATATAAAAATTGGCCGGGCGCGGTGGCTCAAGCCTGTAATCCCAGCACTTTGGGAGGCCGAGACGGGCGGATCACGAGGTTAGGAGATCGAGACCATCCTGGCTAACACGGTGAAACCCCGTCTCTACTAAAAAAAAATACAAAAAACTAGCCGGGCGAGGTGGCGGGCACCTGTAGTCCCAGCTACTCGGGAGGCTGAGGCAGGAGAATGGCGCAAACCCGGGAGGCGGAGCTTGCAGTGAGCTGAGATCCGGCCACTGCACTCCAGCCTGGGTGACAAAGCGAGACTTCGTCTCAACAACAACAACAACAACAAAAAAAAAATAAATAAATAAATAAATAAAAATTAACCGAGCATGGTGGCGTGCGCCTGTAGTCCCAGCTACTCGGAAGGCTGAGGCAGAAGAATCGCGTCAACCCGGGAGGCGGAGGTTGCAGTGAGCCGGGATCATTGCACTCTAACCTGGGGCACGGAGCAGACTCTAAAAAAAAAAAAAAAAAAAAAAATTCTGGAGGAAGAACTGGGGTTAACTAGACAAGGGGCAGGACTGGAGAGGAGGAAAGGACACAGATGAGACCCTACTGCGAAGGCCTGTGTCTTACCATTGCTGAAATACCCTATGGCAGAAGCAGCTAGCCTTAGACAACGGTTCATTCATTCAGTGACAGGCAATGGGGGTAAGCCTCTATCTTCGAGGATGGGATGATGGAGCAGGGAGACAATAAACGATTAAAAAACAAGTTATAAGTTGGTTAAGTTGGGGGGGTCGGGGGGGGCAGAAAGAAGCAATGAGGGACGGTTGGGGTTAGCAGTGTGGGTTGTTTAGTAATAATGGGGTGATCTGGGAGGACTCATCTGAAGATGAGTAAGGGATCTCAGCAAAGCAGGACCGCACCCTCCGGCCCGGTATTTAAACGAATTTGGTTTTTAAAGAAGAATCCAAGGGTTGGAGCTGGGCCCGCGGTGGCTCACGCCTGTAATTCTAGCCCTTCGGGAAGCCGAGGTGGGCGTATTTCGAGACCAGCCTGGTCAACATGGCGAGACCCCGTCTCTGCAAAAAATACAAAAATTAGCCGGGCGTGGTGGCGGCGCACACCTGTGGTCCCAGCAACTTGGAAGGCTGAGGTGGGCGGATCGCTTGGGCCCCGGGGATGTTGCGGCTGCTGTGATCAGAGATTGCGCTGTTGCACTCCAGCCTGGGCGACAGAGTGAGACCCTGTCTCAAAAATAAATAAATAAATACATAAATACATAAATAGAATATGCCGGGCTCACGCCTGTAATCCCAGTACTTTGGGAGGCCGAGGTGTGTGTATCACTTGAGGTCAGGAGTTCGAGACCACCCAGCCTGATCAACATGGTGAAGCCCAGTCTCTACTAAAGAAGCACAGGCGTGGTGGTGCATGCCTGTAATCCCAGCTACTTGGGAGGCTGAGGCAGGAGAATCACTTGAACCTGGGAAGTGGAGGTTGCAGTAAGCCGAGATCGCGCCATTGCACTCCTGTCTGGGCAACAAGAGCGAAACTCCGTCTTAAAGAAAAGAATAATAAAAATTAAAAAAAAATAAAAAATATAAAGAATCCAAGCGACAGGAGTTGTCTTGCTATGGGGCCGGCCGGATGGGCTCTCGGGGTAGTTTAGGGGAGTCGCACTGCGCTACCAGCCCGCGCCTCAGGTTCACGACCCAGCGGCAACTTGGGCACGCATAAGCGCGTCATCCATGGGAAAGCGCTCAGGACGGCCAGAGACGCCACAACGGAGCAGTCACCTCGCGAAGGAGGCTTCCGTGAAGAGTGAGTGTCGAGACCCACACTGAAGAGGAAAAAGGGCCTAGAGGCTGCACAGATGAGGTCGCCAGGAGGGACGAAATGGAGACCGAATAGCGCCCGGACCCCCGGGCGGGGACGCTGTGACCCTGTGCTGTAGGAGTGGAACCCAGACAGGAGCCGAGGAGGAAACGACGTGCTTCTGTGGAGCTTTAGGACTGCGGGGGTTAGGGACACAGGTTCATGGAAATTGTCTGGAAGGGCGTGGCCGCAGGAAGGGCCGCCTCCGCCAGGCGCAGGCGCGCTACGGCGCGGGAGGGGGAGGAGCCTTACTCGCGGATGCGCCCCGCCCCGCGAACAAATATTTGACATTCCGGGCTTATCGGGAGGCGGGGTCCGAAGAGCAACGTTCTCCCTTCCCCCCGCGCCTGATTTGCTTACCGTTTCCGGGGGAAGAGACACATGGGCCAGTGCCCGGGTGGGCGGTCCGGAGATGGGCAGCCGCGCACCAAGGCCCGCCTCCACCTGTAAGGAAAGTAAAGTGCTAGTGGCTCGAACCCGCCGGGCGAAGGATGCACTTTCCTTTCTCTCCCTGTCGCCGTGTCCGGGCGGGAGTCATTTCCGTCCCGGGCGCCTGTTTCTTTAGCTGCCAAGTGGAGCTACGCCGAGCTCTCTAGCCCCGGGCCTCGCCCCTTCCCCGGGCATGAGCGCCAGGGTGCTCCGCTCTCTCCATTGTCCGGGGGCGGGGACGCAGCACCCTCCTTGTCCGAAAGCGCGTGGCGTGGCTCCTGTCTCAGTCTCGAGTCGGGCTAGGCAACCGCGTGACTCAGTTCCCGCCAGGCTGGAGCCCCCTCCTTCCTGCTGGATTATTCAGTTTCTCAGTCACTTATTGAGTTTCTCAGTCACCTCCCTGGGAGAGTTTGGGAAAGTAAGGAACGGCCGGGAAATGCACCATAAAGGAGCCTCACCAAGCTCCACTGGGCGAAGGGGGCACTGGGAGCCCCCAACGCGGGACTGTCAATGGGGTTGTAGGTGCGGGATGGAAAAGGGAGGATCCGCAGCCCGCACGCGCGCACACACGCTCAACGCTAGCTCCCCCATCCGCCAGAGCGCTCGCAATCTCCAGGCAGCTTCTCCATCGTCGAGAAAGGGACGAAAGCAGGCAGGCCCCCACACGTGGGAGTTCCGAGGCTCCAGGCCCCTTCTACCCCTCTCAGCCTTGTCTAGGGTGCAGCTCTCTGGGGTTGGGGGGGTTCCTTTCCCCAGCATTGAGGCCTGCTCACTTCCAACCCACAACGACTTCTCAGTGCCAGGCTACCGCTCGGCCCTAGCGTCTGCATGGACAAACCCTTACCTGTGATCCCTGGTGACCACCCCACAGCTCTAACAACCCTGATGTTCCCGCCGCCCTCCCCTTTCCCAGCTGACTTCTGGTGATCCCCCCACAGGGTGATACCCGGCAACTCTCGCCGCCCCCTTGACCCTTTGACTTCCATCAACCCCAGACCTGCCGTGGTGACCCCCACAGCCCCTAGACTGCCTCCTGGCGCCTTCCATAGGTCCTGTGTGACTCTCTCGGAGTAGAGAAGGCCTCTTGCATGGTCCTTTGCAGAGGCCTGACGGCCCCTGGGGAAGAGTGGGGGGAGAGCGAAGAACGGGTTAGCCCCAAGAATCAGGCAGGACCAGCCCTAGAAGCAGGAATCCGGATCCTGAGCGTATACCCACACCGGGATTATGAGTTCTTGCGTCCTGGGCTGGGTTGTGGCGGCCCTCCCCCAAGGTTCCCGGGGCCGCCCCGGTCACGTGGCCGGCGGGGCAGGCAGGTAACTAGCCTGGAGAGGGCGTGGGCCGGTAGCCGCCCCGCCCCGCGGGGCGCCACGGGCGGGTCTCGGCAGCGCCCACTGAGCCAGCCGGGCCGCAGGTGCCGCCCCCGACACACGGTGTCCCGCCCAAGCTGATCCGCGTCTGCCGTCGGTCGGTGCCTGCGTGCGCCTCGTCGGTCCGCGTGTGTCTGGCCGAGCGCCGCCTTCCTCTGCGGCCATGACTCCGCCGCCGCCCCCGCCCCCAGGCCCTGACCCCGGGGCTGACCCCGCCGCAGACCCCTGCCCCTGTCCCGGATCACTGGTCGTCCTGTTCGGGGCTACGGCGGGTGCGCTGGGACGAGACCTGGGCTCGGATGAGACCGACTTAATCCTCCTAGTCTGGCAAGTGGTTGAGCCGCGGAGCCGCCAGGTAGGGTGGAAAGGAGGCGGTGAGGTCCCCAGGGAGCTTCCGGGGTCGAGGGGCGCGGCTGATCGGTTTCCCCCGCCGCTCACAGGTGGGGACGCTGCACAAATCTCTGGTTCGCGCCGAGGCGGCCGCGCTGAGTACGCAATGCCGCGAGGCTAGCGGCCTGAGCGCCGACAGCCTGGCGCGGGCAGAGCCGCTGGACAAGGTGCTGCAGCAGGTGAGCGCTGGGGTGGGTGGCGGCACGGCCTGGCCGTGAGGACATTTCTGGGCGGGAGAGGCTGCCGGAGGCTAGACCTGGCGTGCCGCAACCAACCGGACCGGGCGGCAGGACGGGGTCTTGTTTGAAACTTTGAGCGACTCTCGCGTGTGCGTGTCCCTTTCATCCGCGCGTGCCGGCCATTCCCCTGGGCGCCTTACTTTTCAACCATTGCAGGAACCTACTCCTACCGAAGGGATCGGGACGCAGGCTTTGGGATCCATCCCCAGTTCCCGCCCGGGGAGCGAGGCCGAGACGCCTTTGGGAGACCTGCTGGGTCAGGTCTCCCTGAGCCGCAGTCGGAAGCGAAAAGGGTCGAGGGGCCCATATAGGTCGCCAGTCCTTGCCGCCCGCGTCTTCGGCCCGCTTGGGAGCCGCTGGAGTGGAGGCGTAGGGCGGTGTCGGCCCTAGAGGTAGACGCCGCCAGGTGTAAACTGCTCGTCTAGGCCTGTCCCGGCCGGCTGGCCAGGCGTGGGCGCTGTCCCGGCCTGGCCTGGGGGACTATCTGCCTGCTGAGTGCAAAGGCCTGGGGTGCTTCCTGCCCTAGCTGAAGTGGGAGGTGGTTTCCATTGCTGTTTTCTTTTCCTTATCTTCACTACGTCGCTCACTCTGTGTCTGACTCTTGAGTGTAATAGTCTAAGTCCTTTATACGCACACATTCTTTCATCTTCCAACAACTCTTGTGGTTCCTGATGAGGAGGCACCACGATGATGATTCTTTGTTTCAGAAGGGCTTTGGGCCCTTCACTTGGGGAGTTCGCTGGAGGAGAGCTGGGTTGCCTTGCTCTGTCAGTCTCAGGTTGTAAAGTTTCACAGAATTGGCAGGGAGGGTCCGTGGGTCAGTGATTAGTGCTTATACTTCTCCAGCCAGCATGGAGGCTGGGGGAGGGCTGGGCAGCCTCAGGAGTGCCACCCCCTCTATGAGCAAACAGCTCAGTGCCAGCCGGTCGATAGGGTGTGGGTCAAAGCTCATGCTGCCCCTGATGTCCAAGTGTGGAGCTCTGTCCTTGGAGTTTCTCTGCCCCTCGGTTGGTCAGACCTGGAGGCGGGGCTGCCATTGACCATGAGCCTTCTGGGCCTCAGGCAGGACTGGGCCTCCCCCACCTGTCTGAGGGTGGTGCCTGGTCAGAGACAGGTTTAACCTGCTTTGCTCCGCCTCTTCCCACCTGCTTGTCCCACTCCAGGTGTTTGCTCTGGCCCCACTCCAAACTCCTGGAGTGTGTTGAGGGCTTGGGTTATGTGTGATTGCCCTCATTTGGCCTGGAGGAGGTGACAGTGGACTGGAACAAGGTTGGGGGGTGAGGGGAAGGGACATAGGGCTAGGCTCAACAGGTGTGGCCTCTTCTTCCCAGGCAGGATAGGGTTGAACATCTGGCTGAACCAGCTTTGCAGCCTGCCTCCTTCCTCCTCCTACCCTCACTTCCTGCCTGCCCAGCTGTGAATCTGTGTGTTTCTCTCTCCCCACTCCCTATCCCCAGTTCTCACAGCTGGTGAATGGGGATGTGGCTCTGCTGGGCGGGGGCCCCTACATGCTCTGCACTGATGGGCAGCAGCTATTGCGACAGGTCCTGCACCCTGAGGCCTCCAGGAAGGTATGCCCCTGAAGGAAAACCGGGCGGGGGGGCAGGGTCAGTAAGGGTCCCAGGACCCCTGTTGTCCTGAGGGTGGGCAGGGCACTCATCCCCAATCCTATGTGCCCCCAGAACCTGGTGCTCCCCGACACATTCTTCTCCTTCTATGACCTCCGAAGAGAGTTCCATATGCAACATCCAAGTACCTGCCCTGCCAGGGACCTCACTGTGGCCACCATGGCACAGGGTATCTGTGACCCAGAAGGGTTAGGGTGGACAAGTCACTGTGGGTACATGTATCTGAGTATGCGCATGCTGGTGGGTGGGTAATATGGACACATGCAAGTCTGCATCATCTGCTAAGTCCCTGAGTGTACCTGTGTCTGTGTGTCTGTGCTAGGATGAGTTTGGAATGTGGGTATGTGTCTATGTCTGGACTGGGGATCTGTAAGTGCACACATGAACTGGGCCAAAACAGATGTATATGCTGGTCTCCAGCATGTGTCTATGGAGGGGAGTTGGGCCCAGGGGTAAACAGGATTCGTGCTTATGCTGTCTTCACTGTCACTTCTCTACCCATAGATTTAGGACTGGAGACAGATGCCACAGAGGATGACTTTGGGGTCTGGGAAGTGAAGACAATGGTAGCTGTTATCCTCGATCTACTCAAAGAGTCCAGCAGTAAGTTTTCCCTCACTGCCTGTCACCTGTTCTCAGGGATGACGAATGCCGGCCTATTACTCCTCCCCACTGTGACCTTCTCTAAGAGACCACAGGGGAAGCCTCTTTGTCATTTCTTCTTTTTCTTTGTTACAGAGCCTTGCTCTGTAGCCTAGGCTAGAGTGCAGTGGTGCAAACTCAGCTCACTGCAACCTCCACTTTCCGGGTTCAAGTTATTCTCCTGCCTCAGCCTCCAGAGTAGCTGGGATTACAGGCCCTCGCCACCACGCCTGGCTAATTTTTGTATTTTTAGTCGAGACTGGGTTTCACCATGTTGGCCAGGCTGGTCTCGAACTCCTGACCGCAAATGATCCACCCACCTTGACCTCCCAAAGTGCTGGGATTATAGGCCTAAGCCACTGCGCTCAGCCTGTCATTTCTTCATCTCCCTCAACTGTCCTCTTTTTGCAGAACTTGGTGGGGAGACCCCTCTCCAGCAGACCCTGCTGACCCCCACACCATCTTTTCTCAGGTCAATTGTTTTCGAAGCCTGAGGTGATAAAGCAGAAATATGAGACGGGGCCTTGGTGAGTGTGGGAGCAGGGGCTAGGGGGTGACAACAGCTGGATAGCTCTGACAGCACTGTGCCCTGCCCCTACAGCAGCAAGGCAGATGTGGTGGACAGTGAGACTGTGGTACGGGCTCGTGGGTTGCCCTGGCAGTCATCAGACCAGGACGTGGCTCGCTTCTTCAAAGGGCTCAACGTGGCCAGGTGGGTGTGGTGGGGTGGGTGGGCCCAACTGGACAGGCCTACCCAGGAGGCACTAACAGCACTGGCTCCACAGGGGTGGTGTAGCGCTCTGCCTCAACGCCCAGGGCCGCAGAAATGGTGAGGCCCTCATCCGCTTTGTGGACAGCGAGCAGCGGGACCTAGCGCTGCAGAGACACAAGCATCACATGGGCGTCCGCTATATTGAGGTGGGGCTTTGGGCTGGGAGCGGAGCAGGGCCAATCTGAGCCAGGCCTGAGACCCACGGGCTGCTGCTCTCTGTACCCACAGGTGTATAAGGCGACAGGGGAGGAGTTTGTAAAGATCGCAGGGGGTGAGTATACCCCAAACAGGGCCTGGCTCCCCTGGTCCTTGATCCATATCTCACTTCCCCACCACCCCCTTGCCTGCCTGCTCCCCTGCATGGGTGAGTGTCTGAAGGGGCACGAGTGAAGTCAGCAGGTGACTCCCATGTCCCCCACACAGGCACATCACTAGAGGTGGCTCGTTTCTTGTCACGGGAAGACCAAGTGATCTTGCGGCTGCGAGGACTGCCCTTCTCGGCTGGGCCAATGGACGTGCTAGGCTTCCTGGGGCCAGAGTGCCCAGTGACTGGGGGTGCCGAGGGGCTGCTCTTTGTGCGCCACCCTGACGGCCGGCCGACTGGTGACGCCTTCGCCCTCTTTGCTTGTGAGGAGCTGGCACAGGCTGCACTGCGCAGGCACAAGGGCATGCTGGGTAAGCGATACATTGAACTCTTCCGGAGCACTGCAGCCGAGGTGCAGCAGGTGAGCACCCAGGGCTTTCCACCCCTAGAAGTACTGTTACTCTAGGGTGGCCCTCTGTGCCCCCATCCTACTTGGCATCACCAGTCTGTTGCTGCCTTCCTTACTAGGTCTTGAACCGCTATGCATCTGGCCCACTCCTTCCCACACTGACTGCCCCACTGCTGCCCATCCCCTTCCCACTGGCACCTGGGACTGGGAGAGACTGTGTACGCCTCCGAGGCCTGCCCTACACGGCCACCATTGAAGACATCCTGAGCTTTCTGGGGGAGGCAGCAGCTGACATCCGGCCCCATGGTGTGCACATGGTGCTCAACCAGCAGGTGAGGCCACTGCTTGGTAGGGGGAACACATCAATGGGAAGGGGTGTGTGTTAGGGGTAAGGCACCCTTACACATGACAAACTGCTCACAAGATGGTGTGCACAGGGCCGGCCATCGGGCGATGCCTTCATCCAGATGACATCAGCAGAGCGAGCCCTAGCTACTGCTCAGCGTTGCCATAAGAAGGTGATGAAGGAACGCTACGTGGAGGTGGTCCCCTGTTCCACAGAGGAGATGAGCCGTGTGCTGATGGGGGGCACCTTGGGCCGCAGTGGCATGTCCCCTCCGCCCTGCAAGCTGCCCTGTGAGTGCCCTAGGGGCTAGGGAAGGAGGCCTGTGGGAGTCAGGCTGTTGTAAGCCCCTACTACTTTGTATAGCGGGAACTCCTTTCTGGCTGCCCCACCCAGGGCAGTGCTAGGCTCCGTGCACATGCACTTTTTCCTTCTGTCTCTAGGCCTCTCACCACCTACCTACGCCACCTTCCAAGCCACCCCAACCCTCATTCCCACGGAGACGGCAGCTCTATACCCCTCTTCAGCACTGCTCCCAGCTGCCAGGGTACCTGCTGCCCCCACCCCTGTTGCCTACTATCCAGGGCCAGCCACTCAACTCTACCTGAACTACACAGCCTACTACCCAAGGTACCCTGCAGCTAAGAGAACACCACAGTCCCGCTCCCTGTCCCAACCTGGGGAAGGGTCACGATCCCCTTTCTGGACCAGATGAAAGGGAGTAAGGTGGGAGCTGGCTAATGCCATCTACAAAACAGATCGAAGATGACTCTGTAGAAGCTGGGGCTTCAGGGAGGAGGAACTGAACTAATCACAAGGCAGAAGCAAGGGAGGAGGGAAACAGGACTCGGTCTAGGCCACATGTGGCATGCATGACTAAACCTTGTCTCTCCCACCCTAGCCCCCCAGTCTCCCCCACCACTGTGGGCTACCTCACCACACCCACTGCTGCCCTGGCCTCTGCTCCCACCTCAGTGTTGTCCCAGCCAGGAGCTTTGGTCCGCATGCAGGGTGTCCCATACACAGCTGGTATGAAGGATCTGCTTAGCGTCTTCCAGGCCTACCAGGTGAGATTGTGTGGCTGGAGGGCCTGGCGGGTCTGGCTGAGCTCTTTGCCCTAAATCTGCATCCCTTCTGTAGCTACCTGCTGATGACTACACCAGTCTGATGCCTGTTGGTGACCCACCTCGCACTGTGTTACAAGCCCCCAAGGAATGGGTGTGTTTGTAGGAGAGAAAGCCAGGAGGTAAGAGCCAGCTGATATCCTCAGTGAACATGTCTCTCCTGCATCCAGACCAGCACCCTCAACCTGGTAGCTTCTTTCTGGCTTGTCAAAGCTCTCAGAAGGTACCTAGAGGAGCCCAAGCCCCAGCTCCACCCTCCACTTATTCTTCTGCCTGTTTCCCCCAAAGACAATGGCTGAACCCTGCATGCAGGGCTAGGGGTGGAATGGGGCTAACCGGCTCCTGATGGCCTGAGCCAGGCATCTTGACTGGCACCTGGAGAGCCCTTTAGTGTGTCCTGGCTGTGGCCCATGCCAACAGATACGGTGGGGCTGATAGGTCCATGGCAGGCTTGCTTTCTTTTTTAAAATGGAAGCTCTGGTACCTTCAATGTATGATTCCTGGGAGAATCAAGGGTCCATCTGAGCCTCTGAGTAAAGATCCCAATGTTCTACCTCCCCCTGTCCCTCTGGTGGGGGATAAGGAGGCAGAGAGATCCAGCCCTACCCTCAGAATATCTGGACCTCAGAGACCATGTTGTGCCAGGGATGGTCCCACCTAAAGATGCTAGCCCCTCCCGAGGTGGGCATAAGGAGTAACAGATGGCAAAACCACGAACTATTTTGATGGACTGTGCTGCAGTATCACCAGAAGACATTAGGGGGCAGGAGGCCCCCACACAAAAACTCAGGCTTGACTTTTAAAGGGGACTTTGCCAACTTTTCTTGTATGCCTTCGGAAAGCCAGTTGCCCTGAACCCAGCAGACACCGTGGAATGTCCTTTGCACGCATTAAATGGTACAGAACTGAAGCCTCAGAAGCAATTTGGAACTCGATTTTCTCTTCCTTAAATGAAAAGTTATTAACCAAATGGACTTTTTAAAAGCCACAGGACCCTTAACTTTGCCCCAAAGTGAGGAGCTCCACACCAACCCCAGGCACAGGAACACTCAGACAGATTAAGGAGACTGTTGACCTGTCATTGTTTATTATTTCAGCACTAAAACTGAGGAGCCTCAAGTGCTGGCTCTTCTTCCCTTTGTATTTGTGTAAGGAGCACCGCACTCCCATAAAAGGTTTTAAAATACAAAATGTACAAGAACACACAATTCCAAGTGCTGTAAACATAACTGAGAACCAGTTCCTTTACTAAACATCCATTTTATAAATCACAAGGTTTCAATTTGAGCCCATCTGAGCCTTAAAGATCCATTCTGAATACCAAAGACAAGGCTTCACAGCCAGGCCCAGAAGAGGTCTGGTGATAATGGCTGGCCCTGGGTGGGGATAGTTTACACCTGGGCAGCAGCACCACACATGAACCCGAAGACATGTTCCTTTTAAAGCTGTTTTCAGCCATGTTTCTCTGTGCATCTCCAGTAAGCAGAAGGCTACTCATTCCATTCCTCAACCCAAGAGCTAGCACAGTTAGAGTAGGTGGGGGTGCATACTAGCACGTGCCCAGTTGCTCAGTGCTGCTACTATAAATTGATTTGCATAGTCCAATGGATGTGTGCTTTAACACCACTATGTTGCACAAAAATTTAAGTCTTTATCTACAAAGCCAAAAAATATTGACTCTTAACACCAAAGCTTTTACAAAGCTGATATAAAAATGCTTACATAGTATACAAAGCTCTATTTTAAAATTTAATGTTTATTTTAAATAGGAAAGCATTTCTAGTGCTACAGGCATCAAGGTATTTAGAAGGCATCAAAATTTGGTGCATAGCAACTCTGGATCATAGAGGCTTTTAATTCTTGAGGGCAGCAAAGCAGCCCCCAAAGGGTATTGCAAGGGGAACTCTTGCAATAATCCCATGTGAGGCAGCTACACCAGGGGCAAAAGGGTAGAGGCAAGTCTGGCCATTTCTTTGGAATGTCAATCGAGAGGCCAACTTCTTGCCCCTCCAAAGGAAGCTGTGGGCTTCCAACCACAGGCCCAGAAGCAAATCTCACTATCCACATTCTGTGACACAACTCACTTTTCAAGAAAATTTGAAACCACCCAGCTCCAAGACGGGCCACAGTGATCTGCTGAAGGACAGATCTTTTTCTCTAACTTTAGAGGAGAAATCTGAAATACATTTTTGTTTTTTTTTAAAGACCATACTTCCTCATCCTGAGTCAACAGCTCCAACCCTACTGACAACAGGTGGTGGGCAATAGGCCAGCTCCCTTTCTCAGGCCTGAACTGGCCTCAGTAGAGAGAGTCCTGGCATTAAGGGCCTGCAGTCTCCTGGAATAACAGCATCAGGCCTTCAACCAGCACACTGTCTCACATATAGGCACTCAAAAAATCCGCTTCCTGAATCAGTGGAAGTATATTATTTCATTTGAAAGCATACTGCAAACTTCAGAGGCTCTGTAATAGGCCCAGGAACAGGTAAAAGATCCCACTAGGGAGAGGGGTAAGGGCAGGTTTTTTTTTTTTAAAGTACCCAACTTGGGTACCTCCTTTGGTAGACAGCAGGCTGCAGTTTCTGCTGGGCCCTGCCTTAGACACCAGTCTCACCAGCAGCAGCACCAGGGTGTCTTTGGTGTGGAGGGTCAGGTTATCACTTCTGGATGTGCTCAGAGCCTTCTGGGGAAAAGGCTGGTTTTTAGATCATACAGACAGGACAGGGTAGGTCAGAATCATTTTGGGCTATAAACAGAATGGCAGATAAGCCTTCCATGCTAGTGTGACTCTTAAAACCTTCCCATCTGGAGTCCTCTATTTTCTCTGCCCATGCCGATGTACAGCTCACCTGTGCTTTAGCTCTGCACACAGCCTGGCCTCTAGAGAAGAGTTACAACTGCGAAGCTGCCTAAACCACCGTGAGACTGACTTCAAAGGTCACAGAACAGCAAAGGCAGATGCTCCTGTTTGGAAAAGGTTCTAGGACCAGATGACACAAATAGGAAGAGCACTGAACAGCTTACTAGTTTTTATCATGGCAAGAAATGAAAGTGACCAAACTAAAACCCCATCATTCAGAGTCACCTTAAATGTAGCCATGTAACCCAGGGTCCTGAGGGAAAAAGCAATTTCAACATGGAGCCAGTATGGAGAGATTGCAAGATTACCTAGAAAGTTACCAAAAGGCTATGCTCTGGAATGTCTTTTTATATTCCAACACTTCAATGATGGAATGGTCTCTTCTCATTTTATCTAACAACAGTTTAGTTTTATAAAGAGGTATGAGCTACATTTGGCTTTATTTCCTATAAATCTATGAAAATCTTTAGGACACATGCTGACTTTCTGAGGCATAGGTGTGGGCTTGGGATTTTTTTCTTTTTTTTCTTTTTCTTTTCTTTTTTTTTTTTTTGCTTCTGGAGGGTCTTATCAAAAGTTCCTATTTTAAAAATTATCATAAAAACTAAAGGGCCCTTCAAATGACCATAAAGCAGTACAAATCACCAATCCTCTCTAAGTAACCAGGTCACCTGCAAAAGCAGCACCTCGGAAACAAGAGCCTGCTGCATTCACACTCAAAGCACCCATCACGTAAAAGTATCCTAGTTAAATATAAAAAGCAAAGCTCGTTTCCCCAAAGTTCAAACAGCCTATGCTGCTCCTGTTCTTTTACAAAATCTACCCAAGGCCTGAGGTGGAGGAACACTGCTTTCCCCACAAATGGTGAGTCCCACTCCTGGTGCCAGACCTGAAGGCTGCAGAGTTGGAAACCCAAGGTCCAAGGAGAGAAACATGCTGAGAAGTTGGTGGTGGACACAAGGCTGCAGTGAGCACTGTTAGAGTCCATCAGATCTTCCTAAATCCAGGGACTCAGGACTCAGAAGGGGAGCCTGCCTGCTCACCCCTGCTCCTTGAGAAACAGAAATCTGGGACATGTCTCTCCCAATTATCTCGTTCACTGAAAAACAAGAAAAGGGAGAGTGATTAGTGACCTCTGAGTGACTAGCCTTATGATGCGAAGTGCTGAGCTCTACCTCAGACATTTTCCTTCCCATGGCTTTCTGTAACGATAAAGGCAGTATCTGAAGCCTGCTCCTGAGCTAAGTGGCATTAGAGATGGAAACATCACTCCACAAACTGCTCCGGACCTCTTTTTCTCTCCCTCTCATTCAGTTCATTTTGGGTTGGGAAGGGGGCTTACCCTCACTCTAAAGGTACTTTTAAACAAGTATTCACCTTACTCTAACTTTTCTTTAATTTGTATCTCTTCTAGAAAGTTTTTATTTTCTACAATGCCACCTCCTATATAAATGGAATGAAAATAAATGCTTTGGTCAGAATAAACCACTGTGATGTGGGGGTGATTTTGCTACTCTATCCTAATACAAGCACTCTTTATTATGTGGGGGCATTTCTGTTGTTTGTGATCTTTTCTGATTGGAGACTCTAGCTTTTCTATTAATTTCTCTGATGTTCCAAGCACCTCAGGGAGGTACAGTGCTCTGTGAGGTCCAGAGCAAAGAATTTCCATCTTATGGAACTAACATAGAAGGGAACATCCCAAATCCCCCAAATAAGAAACTTTAGTTCTCATATCATTTCATTCCTTGCCTTATCAACTAAAGTCTACGCTAATTCCACTCCTAGGCATATATACAAGAGAATTGAAAACATATGTCCACAATAAAAACTTTCAAATGTTCACAGCAGCATTATTAATAATAGCCAAAAAGTAGAAACAATCCAAATGTCTACCAAGTGATGAATGGATAAACGGTAAGTTGTCTCTATCCATAAAATGGAATATCGGCCTTGAAATGTAATGAAGTTCTGATATATGCTTCAGCCTTGAAAACAGTCTGCTAAGTCAAAGAGGCCAGATACGAAAGGTCATATATGATTCCATTTATATGAAATGTCCAGAACAGGCCAATCCATAGAGACAGAAAACAGATTACAGGTTGTGGAGAGGGAGAAACGGGGAGTGATTACTAATAGGTATGGAGTTTCTTTTCAGAGTAATGAAAATGGAGTTATAAAATTAGATACAAGTAGCCAGGTGCGGTGGCTCATGCCTGTAATCCCAGCACTTTGGGAGGCTGAGGCGGGCGGGTCACCTGAGGTCGGGAGTTTGAGACCAGCCTAACCAAAATGGAGAAACCCCGTCTCTACTAAAAATACAAAATTAGGCGGGTGTGGTGACGCATGCCTGTAATCCCAGCTACTTGGGAGGGTGAGGCAGGAGAATCGCTTGAACCCGGGAGGTGGAGGTTGCAGTGAGCCGAGACTGCACCATGTACTCCAGTCTGGGAAACAAGAGCGAGACTCCATCTCAAAAAATAAATAAATAAAAATAAATAAAAATAGATACTAGTAATAGTTGCAAAACTCTGACTATACTAAAAACCACTCAGTTGTATACTTTTAAGGATAATTTTTTTTTTCGTTTTTGAGACAGAGTCTCGAACTGTCGCCTGGACTGGAGTGCAGTGACGTGATCTCAGCTCACTGCAACCTCCGCCTCCTGGGTTCAAGTAATTCTCCTGTCTCAGCCTAAGTAGCTGGGATTACAGGCGCCCACCACCATGCCCAGCTAATATTTTTGTATTTTTAGTAGAGAACGGGTTTCACTATGTTGGCCAGGCTGGTCTCAAACTCCTGACCTCGTGATCCACCCACCTCAGCCTCCCAAAGTGCTGGGATTACAGGTGTGAGCCACTGCACCCAGCCTTTAAGGACAAATTTTATGGTATGTGAATTATATCTCATTACAGCTATTATAAACAAAAATAGACCAAAACCAAAAGTTTTCTATACTTAGAATTTGATGTGATCATAGAGCAAAGAAACACTAACAAACATATAAAAAATCTTGCAAGTATTAACATCTAATCTTTTCTGGTTTACCACAGTTAAGAACAAAAATTTCTCAAACTCATATAGTTATAAGGAGAAGGGAATTAATATTTACTAATTCAGTTGCTTGAACCCAGGATGTGGAGGTTGCAGTGAGCCAAGATTGTGCCACTGCAGTCCAGCCTGGGTGAAAGAGCAAGACTCCATCTCAAAAAAAAAAAAAAAAAAAAAAAAGGCCGGGCGCAGTGGCTCATGCCTGTAATCCCAGCACTCTGAGAGGCCGAGGAGGACAGATCACCTGAGGTCAGAAGTTCAAGACCAGCCTGGCCATGGTGAAACCCCGTCTCTACTTAAAATACAAAAAATTAGCTGGGCGTGGTGGTACGCGCCTGTAATCCCAGTTACTCAGGAGGCTGAAGCAGGAGAATTGTTTGAACCTGGGAGGCAGAGGTTGCAGTGAGCCGAGATCATGCCATTGCACTCCAGACTGGGGGACAAGAGCGAAACTTTGCCTCAAAACAAAAACAAAAACACTACTAATTCAGGACGGGCGTGGTAGCTCACACCTGTAATCCCAGCACTTTGGGAGGCCGAGGTGGGTGGATCACCTGAGGTCAGGAGTTCGAGACTAGCCTGGCCAACACGGTGAAATCCCATCTCTATTAAAAATACCAAAAAGTTAGCCGGGTGTAGTGATGCACGCCTGTAGTCCCAGCTACTTGGGAGGCTGAGGCAGAAGAATTGCTTGAACCCAGGAGGTGGAGGTTGCAGTGAGCCAAGATGGCGCCATTGTACTCCAGCCTGGGAGACAAGAGAGAAACTCTGTCTAAAAATATATGTGTGTGTGTGTGTGTGTGTGTGTGTGTGTGTGTGTACTGAATGTAGTAAGTACTGAATGTAGAACAGTAAAGAAGTAGGAGGCCGGGCGCGGTGGCTCAAGCCTGTAATCCCAGCACTTTGGGAGGCCGAGACGGGCGGATCACGAGGTCAGGAGATCAAGACCATCCTGGCTAACACGGTGAAACCCCGTCTCTACTAAAAAAAATACAAAAAACTAGCCGGGCGCGGCGGCGGGCGCCTGTAGTCCCAGCTACTCGGGAGGCTGAGGCAGGAGAATGGCGTGAACCCAGGAGGCGGAGCTTGCAGTGAGCTGAGATCCGGCCACTGCACTCCAGCCTGGGCGACAGAGCGAGACTCCGTCTCAAAAAAAAAAAAAAAAAAAAAAAAAAGAAGTAGGGACTAGAAGCCAAATACATACATATATTTACTAATTCCACAAATATTTACTAAGCATTTATAGTTTAGGTTTTACAACTGAAATTAAATCTTATTTCAGTTAATCTTCACAATACTTTAAATATTATCTCACTTTACAGATGAATTAACTGAGGCTTTGACAGGTCACATAATTTGCCTTAAAGTTACATGCTCGTGGAATCAGCCTCAAAATACCAGTTGCGTTCTTAGAAGTCAAAATGTAGAGATGGAAGGAAATGACTGAGATAAAGAAAATGCAAAGGAGCTGGGTAAAATGTGGTGATCCTAGTGGGAGGGAGAGGAAGTGTGATGGTAAGGAGGAGATAGAAGAAGTGGTGATTTACCATCACTAAAGTTTTGAGACTAAAAGAGAAAACAATGGTGCAGTCACAACAGGGAAGGAGGAGTTCAGAGGAGGAAGGTGGTAGGTTAGGTCTGGAATTGGAAATTAGAAACCCCAAATGGAAAAATCAGTGGGCATGGGGCTACAATCAATGGTCAGAACAAGAAGAGATTTAGGTATATTCATACTCACTAGAGACCTAGAAGCATGAGGGAAATTTTGCACAGAAGTTATATCACCGAAAAGCAGAGGCTGATAATAATAAGTGGGAGTAGTATCATTGTCCTCTGATGAGAAGATAGGACCTGGGAAGGCAAATATGTGAGTAGAGGAGTGGCCTAGAAATTAGGTTTGGTTTGAATTCAGGCTCTGCCACTAACTTCATGTTGTGTCCTTGGACAAATTATTTCATATATCTAAAACACCCTTTATTTGTACTATGACAGTGTTAGATTAGTACGATGTCTTTTAGCTGCAGTAGTCAACAGTTTTATGTCTGTAGACAGTTTTCAAGTGGCAGTACACAAAGGTATGCAGAGAAATAAAGGATGAAGGCTGGGTGCAGTGGCTCACTCCTGTAAACCCAGCACTCTGGGAGGCCGAGGCGGGTGGATCACAAGGTCAGGAGTTCAAGACCAGCCTGGCCAAGATGGTGAAACCCCCGTCTCTACTAAAAATACAAAAATTAGCTGGGCATGGTGGCAGGCGATTGTAATCCCAGCTACTCGGGAGGCTGAGGCAGGAGAATCGCTTGAACCTGGGGGACGGAGGTTGCAGTGAGCCAAGATTGCACCACTGCACTCCAGCCTGGGCAACAGAGTAAGACTCTCAAAAAAAAAAAAAAAAAAAGGTTTGGCTTGGCTGTGGTTAGTACTGAATGTAGAATAGTAAAGAAGTAGGGACTTGAAGCCAAAGGACTCTACAAAACAGTGAAGATTAATCAATACTGGTGAGCTAATAATCACTAAGTGATAAGCCTTTTTTTTTTTTTAACAGGCTCCTGTCACCGCGCCCGGCTAATTTTTTATATTTTTAGTAGAGACTGGGTTTCACCGTGTTAGCCAGGATGGTCTCGATCTCCTGACCTTGTGATCCACCTGCCTCAGCCTCCCAAAGTGCTGGGATTACAGGCATGAGCCTCCGCGCCCGGCCAGCGATAAGCAATTTTTTTTTTTTTTTGAGACGGAGTCTGGCTCTGTCGCCCAGGCTGGAGTGCAGTGGCCAGATCTCAGCTCACTGTAAGCTCCTCCTCCAGGGTTTACGCCATTCTCCTGCCTCAGCCTCCCAAATAGCTGGGACTACAGGCGCTTGCCACCTCGCCCGGCTAGTTTTTTGTATTTTTTTTTAGTAGAGATGGGGTTTCACCGTGTTAGCCAGGATGGTCTCGATCTCCTGACCTCGTGATCCGCCCGTCTCGGCCTCCCAAAGTGCTGGGATTACAGGCTTGAGCCACCGCGCCTGGCCGATAAGCAATTTTTTAAGATACAGATTGATAAAGTACTTTGTCAGATTTTTTTTTTTTTTTTTTTGAGATGGAGTCTTCCTCTGTCGCCCAGGCTAGAATGCAGTGGCACAATCTTGGCTCACTGCAACCTCTGTCTCCCGGGTTCATCTCCTGCCTCAGCCTCCAGAGTAGCTGGGATTACAGGTGCCCACCATCACACCTGGCTAATTTTTCTATTTTTAGTAGAGACAGGGTGTCACCATCTTGGCCAGGCTGGTCTCTAACTCCTGACCTCATGATCCACCTGCCTCAGCCTCCCGAAGTGCTAGGATTACAGGTGTGAGCCACCGCGCCCGGTGTTTTATTTTTTGTTTTTTAAGAGACAGGCTCTGGCTCTGTTACCCAGACTGGAGCGCAGTGGTGCAATCATAGCTCAAACTCGAA